TGTCGCATATAGCCCGAACACGAGTTATAAAAACTTTTCTCTGGCGAGCTTGCTAGCCGAAAACGAAGGCTCCGACACCGTGCTTATACTGCGCGTATAGTACAAGCCACACGGAGAGACACGCAGCCTCTCGATCAATATAATACTCACTTACTATATAGCATATATATTTGCGAGTATGTGTGTGGGTGGAAGAGAGCAAGAGCGCCGGCAAAGCAGCGGCAGCAGCAGCAGCCTGGCCGGCGTCGTTCCGGAAGTAGCGTGTAACGCTCGCGCGCCGCGCTGCGATGACGAGATATTGCGCGCAGGACGCTTTTCTGCGTTTCGATATATAGCTCCTGGTACTCCTCCTCCTCCTCCTCCTCTTCCTCGCTCTCTTGACAGCTGTCTGTATGATTTTATTGTACCAGTGTGCGTTCGTAAAATAACCTTTCGATCATCTGTCTCCGAGTTTGATTTTCGATTATTTTACATTTCTCTCGGCTTTTACCACCAATTTTATGGATTGCCTGTAAAAGTCACTTTGTGAATGTAGACAGAGTTGGGTTTTGAGGCAAATTAATTTGCTGTAAATAATGTTTCGGAATCAAGTAAGCTCACAAGTTCGATATTCGAAGAACACCAATTTACGAATCACATACAAAATAGTTTTGTAAAGTGTAGAATCAGTTTAATAAGTAACAGTGCAAACCATGTCTCGAGATAATTTTAGGCAAAATTAATTTTATAAAAATTGATGCAAAAATGTTTAAGTTAATGGTACACAGATACATAAATGCATTAGACTTCTAATATCGTTATACTTTTTATCAAAGCTTTATCAGTATTCAGAGATTAAAGTAAATTTAAAAAAATCTGTACTTGAAAAATAATAATTGAATTTTACAATGATTATAAAGCATTGTGATCATAGCAATGCCACGTCTCTAACTTTATTGGGTTTTCAATTACCTTCAGTTTCATTGCTTTAAAAAAGAATAACAAAGTAATGAAATTACGATGTGATGTCGCAATAAGAAAAATAATTGTATAGCAAAAATTGAAATTAGATTTCTTCAAATTATTCAATAACGTTTATGCGAAGGTTTCGATAGATTTCAAGTACGTATTTGGCTTTTTATTTAAAAAAAAAAAAAAAAATTGAAAAAGATTTTGAGTCAACTAAAAAATAAACAATCTTCAATATCAACTTGATTTAATTATTTTCATTTACTCGTAATCCAGAATAGAAAAATTAAAAGAATTTCTGAATTAATTACATCTTTGCGAACGTACGCACTCTAAATTCTTTAAAAATTCAACATTTCCGATGCGTTTGAATGTACTTTTCTTAATGATTCTTAAAACAAAGAAAATATCTATGTTCCACTCACCGTGTACACTGTACATACTACAAACAAAAAATGACTTTTGCCTCTGCTTCTTGGTTGACGTCCTCCACGACTACTTCCCCTGAAAAGACGACGAAGACATTATTCCCCGGCATATAAAGAGCGCTGAGTTTTTTTTTTTTATGCAAACTGCAGTAAGAGATCAAAAGCCAAAAGAAGAGTTATAAAGCAAAAAAAAGAACCATAAAGAGCACTGAAAAGAGGAAGTAAAACGGCGGTGGAAGCTGTGGGTTTTTTTTTTGAAAAAGAAATCCAAAGAATAAAGAAGATTTCCTCGTACGATGACTACGCTGGAACATCCGCGCTAAAAAGCTCTTAAGAGTCGGCGAAAGGTCGAAAATTATTCATGGGCGTACCGCAGATGAAGAGAATAATCTACATACGAGAGTTTTGCGCGTATGAATATCAAACTTGTTCGTGGATGAATTTTCAAGTCATTAAAAATATTGATCGAAAAATTCTCTCTTGTCTACAGAAATAATAATACGAATATCATGAAATATATTAAAGAAGCTAGGAGAGACAAGCCTGCAAATAACTTCGGCCCTTAAATTCCAGTGTACTCGGTAATTGGCTCGTATTACATTTTTTCTTGCCAAACAAATGTAATGCAACACCTGTAAGCTCGGAGTTTCAGGCAGCAAATAAAGCGAAGCCCCTAACGAATTCCCAAGGAAAAACGAGAAGCAAACGACGATACGGCAGGAGGAAGAAACAACAGCACGTATATAGTACAGAAAAAGCATACATACATATAATAATGGGAGAGTACGGTCGATTTTCTTTGGTTCAGGTGCGGGGGTGAAAAAAGCCTCGGTGTACGCCCGTACGCATATAAACCCACGTGAGAGCGAGAGAACAAAGTGTTTTAGGGGTTGATGTATCTGCGTTGGTAGGCGCGTTTCCAGGCGACCGACTCTCGCTCTCTCTCTCTGTCTTTTTCTCCCTCTCTCTTGTCTCACTCTCTTTCGAAGTACGCACGCAGCGAAAAAAGGTAAAAAAGGGAGTGCGTACAAGTGCAAGACCACTGCCACGGAGCCACTCTTATCCCTTTTCCTGTATTTTTTCCTCCCAAAGACTTATTTCGTGATTTTCGATGCTCGAGCGTCAAAGTTCGAAAAAGGATTTCATGCGTCGTTGATGCGAAACTGAAGCTTTATGTGCATATATGTCGAAGCGAACGCCGAGCGAAAAGCTTTCGAAGATTACTCACTTTACCTTATAACCAGGGATTGACAATGTAACGCGTACACGCAGATCCACGAACGAGAAACAATTTACGCGGACAGCTGGATATTGGATCGAATCTCCCTGGATTTTCCATTGGTTTTTTTTTACGAGTGGGAAACGTGATAAGTAATCGTAGGAAATAACCTCTACATAAAACAGTTCATACACATCGACGATGCGATTGGCTCGCGACCTAAAAAACTAAACAGAACCTCCGCATCTCATCCATGCACTCGCACATTATGCGATTATACATTCAAGTCGAGAGAGAGAGAGAGAAAGACACGATGGATAGACTTGCAACACTCGCGTCATAATACGCACACGCATATGCGAGTCTCTCGCTCGTTTCTTTCGCTCGCTGGCTCACTCTCTCGACTGCTTGATAACTTCCGGTCTACTGACGACGTCCGTATAGGATACGATATTACACTTTATAGAATATGTATATTATATGCATTTTAAGCACTCGCACCAGAAAATAATAATGATCCGCGCGCAGTTGCTTTCGCGGCGCGTCATGCACCGTATGGGTGTATGATAGGTTCCGCTTATGCCTCACCGTCTGCTCACGTACATATTATACGAGCCGATCGTGCTCTCGTCTCTATATTAACATCGGAAGATCGATCTTGCGTTCCTTTTTTTTCTTTGACGTGCGCTTCGAGCCTGATCGTAGAATAAAAGAACTCGACGTTGTAACGAGGATGGATGAGGCTTTGATAGAGCAAGACACAAGATAGAGAGGGTTCGATTTTCTTCAGGTACTTAGGCGGGGGTTTTCTTGAATTTTTCATCCTAAATGCCTGTAATGTATATAATATAAATAGGCCTGTGTAGTCTAATGGACGCCGTACAGCCACGCGCATCAATCGATCCCCGCCCATCGGAAACCGGCGCAGCTTGGGCGACACTATTCAAAATAGAGACAAGCAGCTTAATAGAAGCAGGGGTAAATCTTTTGAAGACCGAAATTTTAAAAGTACAACATGCTGTAACGCATTGTAAAACTCGTATTATCGTATCAGTATGTAAAAAAAAACAGCCGACAGCGTCCATCTAGACGAAAAGCATGACAATAATTAATTCGCACCGCACACAACTGGGTCTCGCGTGTCAATTATGCGCAAGCTCGACGATGCGACAAAGTAATTTAAAAAATTTAGTCCTCACTTTTGTCGAGCATCACGCACATCTTCATTAGCGATGAATTTTATGCGTACGGCATTTACATGCGCACGCGAAAGTGCATTTATATTTATACGTAAATGTACGCCTCAACGGGCGTGAGCCGCGCGGCACAGTGCAGCGATCGGTCGTGTGTGGCCTTGTCATAAATATAAGCTCGCGTGCGTGCACTGTGCCGCGGCGCAGCCTCTCCGATCGTGCAGAGCTCCATCCTATATTATGCCTGCCAACGCGCGGCTTGTATTTATTGTAATGCGCGCGTATTTTATATGCAATTGCAATGACGCACTCCGCTCGCTCGTTTCTCTCTAAATGTATACATATTTTATACAGCAGCAGTGGCAGTCGTTGCAGCTCTGTCGTGAAACAATAATGCGCACCTGCGCTTACGATATTTGAAATTCCGCGCGTACACTTTTATATAAGCCAAGCACTCGCTATGTGCCAAGCGAGCCTGGAAGAATGCTGAGGTTATCGCGGGTCGTTGCTAGCCGTTGGCGGTGGGCCGACGTCGACCAGCAGCACACGAATGCCCGATCGCGCATATTATATCTGTCCGAGCTTGTACTATGGAAAGGTTGAACGTCGCTTTAATTGAGTCGCAGCGACCACGAGCTTTTGCTCGTACGTATATACCTGCGAGTATGGGCGCGCGCAACGTTTCGCCCTTATCGTTCGCTAAACTTTCCGAGACTCGCGCGCGAGAGTTTATTGCACAGAGGTTTGGAATTTCGCTGCTTCTGCTTCGCGCACACGCGCACACGCATTTGCAATTTTACACGTACGCATCGCATACACACTCCGCTATCCGCAGAGACAACACGGATTTCCCATGTGGTCTGTGGGCTCTCTCCTCATTTGCTGCAATTATGCATGCGTCGTTCGAATTACCTACGTGAAAGTTTGATCGAATTATCTTTACTGTCCGCCAGCTGAGGAATTTGATAAAATTTTGATTCTGTCCGTTTTGGTTATTTTTCATCCAGACTCGTTTGAAATTTGGAAATATTTTTAAGAAAATACAAAGTGTGCTTGAAAGTTTGAATAGTAAGCACAAAACTTCTATTGACTACACCATAATGAAATCAAAACTTACCTGACATTATATTTTATTTACAATACCTATTTAATTCTTCAGCAATTTCACGTTTATATTGAATATCATTTTATTATTTTCTTATTTCGTCACAGGTCACACGATCCGCCGATTTGGCGATCGAGATTCCGGGTAACCTCAGCCAGGGAGGAGCGACGTACAGACTGGATTACACGCCGCGAGTGGGCTATCCACCGCCCAACACGACGATCGCCGCCTCCGACATCGGGGACGTGATCAAGTTCCGCGACGGGCTGCCCGGCACCCGCTACGAGTATTGGCTCTTCTACACCAACGACACCCTACACGATTGGCTCACTTGGACTGCTTCCATAACGACTCGTGAGTACTACCACTGTACACACAACCCGTAATAATAACGATGATAATTATGATTGCACGAATGCGGAGAGGCGATGTTGTTGCTGTTGCTGATTCTGTGTACAGTAGTTCCGCCATCACGCACTAATTATCTTGCATTATACGCCTGTCCAACTTCTTGCACCTGTGTGCGATACGGCGCGTACTTTCTTTCTTTCTTTCTCAAGCCGATCTTGCGATTTTGCGTTTATTGACATTTTTCGACCGACAGTCATAAATTATTTGCGACTTTCGTGTACCAATTGTCCAATAGATTGCGTAAATTTTTCCTAATTATTTTTTACTTTCAACCAGATGAAAGCTCTTTCATATAGTAATATGCTACTTTGAACGCAAACTCGAACAATAAAAAAAACACGCGTATAAGTGATGTAGGTTACCGGAGCGAAACTCGCCGCTTCGTGCTTGCGTATGCGATAGTTTTTACTTTATCGCGCGCAGAGCTATAATAACATAGTTGTGACATTTCAATTAATTTTATTCTCTTTTTTTTCGTTGCCACCGACAGCCCCGGACCCACCGTCGAACCTCACGGTGCAGGTGAAGAGCGGCAAGTCCGCCGTGGTCCACTGGGATCCTCCGAGGCAGGGGAATTACTCGGGCTTCCGCCTCCGAGTCCAGAGTTTCAACGACGCTGGTAATCCCTGGACGAGCGTCGTGCCTGCCGACGCTGCACCTTACACCCTGAGAGATCTGACTCCGGGCGCGACGTATTCGCTGCAGCTCTACACGGTCCTCGACACCAAGGAGAGCGTGGCTTATACCAGTCGCAATTTCACAGCCAGTGAGTATATAATATACACACGAGTCGCACTTGTAATTTCATTGTAAAAATGATGCACGTTCATTAATGATGATGACTTTTTTCCAGAACCAAACACTCCGGGCAAGTTTATCGTGTGGTTTCGTAACGAGACGACCCTGCTGGTGCTGTGGCAGCCCCCCTATCCACCGGGCATTTATACGTACTACAAAGTCAGCATAGATCCGCAGGATGCCGCTGAGTCGGTGCTTTACATTGAAAAAGAGTCCGAGCCACCCGGACCAGCACAAGCGGCTTTTAAAGGACTCATTCCTGGTAAGTTTTTTTGTCTTTGCTCTTCTTTCCTTCCCCTTTCTCTCTCCCTCTCGCTCTCTCTTTCGCTTCATCTAATTGAATCTTGATAAAGTCCCGTGACAGTGCCGCCGGTCGTTTTTAATTGCTCGTCTCTTCGCTGGCTCATCCCCCGCATACAATCCGAGGGCTTTGTACTTCTATTCGATTTCAATCGAGAGCAGCAAAATTACGTCCCTGATTTCGAGAGATAAAAATACAAGTCGCGCCTATTGTGAAATACTTTTCTGTAAAGATCGAATTGTTCGAGAGGCGTCTTTCGAGAGGCGCCGCCGACACTCCAAGCTCCTCAAAAGAGGATTACAAATTGCGTTTCTCGCAGCCGCGCGTGAAATCTCCCGTCGTGTCTTATGAGATATCTCGACGAACGAAAGCTCGCCTCACTCGCGTGTTTCATATTATGTGCGTGTGTATCGATTTTCGGAAAAACTGCAAAAAAAACAGAGTTGCTTAGTTTCGTATCTCGATCTGGTATGTGTGTGCATAACAGCGATTACTGCGGCGTTGTGAAATGTTCGAAAGTCATTCGCGGCACACATGTGTGTACGAGCGTGTGTGCAGCCTACTCCTATTACGTGCCGAGCGTTATACTTTGCACTCGAAAGTCGAGGAATTTAATCAATCTCAGCGTAATTGGCGCGATGTTGCATTTTTCTCTTTTTCTCTCTTGTCTCATTTCATAAAAGTAAAATGTACCATAGAAAGAGTCGATTATTTGATGGACAAAATTATTTTCACACAGGTCGAGCCTACAACATCTCTGTGCAAACTGTGTCGGAGGATGAGACTTCAGCGCCGACAACGGCGCAGTACCGGACTGTGCCGCTGAGGCCGTTGAATGCGACGTTCGATAATTCGTCGGTAACTTCGACTTCCTTCAAAGTTTACTGGCAGCCGCCCAATGGAACGTCGGAGTTTGACAAGTATCAGATCTCGCTGGCTGGTAACAGGCGCTTTTCGCCCGTAACGCGAAACCGAGAAGACGAGTGCAAATGGGAGTTCAAAGACCTGGAGCCAGGAAAGACTTATCAAGTGGTGGTAAAGACGTTTTCAGGAAAGGTCTCTAGTTGGCCCGCCAGTAAAGATGTCACGCTGAGTAAGTCGACTTTTTGAAAATATCTCAAGCGAAATTGCTCTCATAACATGCTCATAACATTTTTTTCTTCAATTTAATAGAACCACTGGCGGTACGCGATCTGCATGCCGAAGTCGACGAAAAGACAGGTATGGTCGAGGTCTCTTGGATTCCTGATAACAGCAGTACCCAAGATTCCTATAAAATTGAATATCACGAGATCGAAGGTACCATAGGAGGCGACGGCAATGTTTTAATAACGAACAAAACTAGGGTAAGAGTATGAACTGTGTATCCAAACCGGGAATAGTCTGTGTAGCATTTGTGAAACTCTGATACATTAAACAAAAAAGCACGACGTACCATAATTTTGCGGTTACATTGAAAAGTCGCTGGTCTATGTATCCATCTAATTTCTAGTGTATAAGTTACAATGATGAAAATTTCATAAAGAAACTTTCATCTTGGCGATGGAAATGAGTTTCTGCGAACTTTCGAATTTCCGTTGGAGCAGAAACAATCATTCAAATTCTGTTTATGATTTTGTAACAGTTAATGTAGAAATATCACCAATTTTTTAAAACATATTTAATTTCACAGATCACCCTGGAAGCTCTACTGCCTGGAAGGAATTACTCAATATGTGTTCAAGCCATAAGTAACAAAGTTGAATCGAATGAGACCATTTTGTATCAAGTCACCAAACCTTCGTCACCCATAATAGAAGATCTGAAATCGATCGAAAAGGGGTTGAATATTTCTTGGAAGAGCGATGTAAATTCTCGACAAGAAAAGTTCGAGGTGACTCATAACCGAAATGATACGGGCGAAAGTGCAACTACGTTAACAACGGAATCTCACATAATGCTTGAAGACCTTCATCCTGGAGCCGGTTATGAAGTTAAAGTCTTCGCCATAAGTCACGGTTTGCGTAGCGAGCCTCACTCCTATTTCCAAGCCGTCTGTTAGTATTTATTCCATATATTTAGTGCTGTACTTTATTCATTTTCTTATAAATAAATGTAAATTATAATTTTTACAGTACCACATCCTCCACGTAATCTGAGTATCGAAAAAGTAACTGCTAACACGGTTGTTGTACACTGGTCAGCTCCTACAGATTCGATATTTTCTGAATACGCTATCAGATATCGCACAGCAGATGACCCAAGATGGGTAAAATTGCCTGCGGTTAAGGAAACCGAAGCCGAAGTTACCGACATGTCGCCGGGTGAGCGTTACACCATCCAGGTTAACACTGTTAGTTTCGGAGTTGAGAGCTTGTATCCTCTAAATGTCAGCCACACGATTCGTAAGTTATTGAAATGGCATTTTTTGCATTACCATTCTTGACCATTCAATTAGCTGATCTTTTTATTACCAAATGTTCGTTTGAGTTTAGGTCCGAATCCAGCTGTTAATATAACACCAGTTATCGATTCTACCAATGTTACCTTGGAATTCATACGCCCCGAAGGACGAATCGAGTATTACGTACTGAAATGGTGGCCCGCAGAAATACCAGAAGGTATGCGCACCAAGAACGTCACAGCTAGCAGTCTACTTGGTTACGAGGATCCTTATCTCGGATCGTCCGTCGCACCAGTCTTGAATCCTAATATCGAGAGAATCCTTGTGGATGAATTGATACCAGGAGTCGAGTACGTCTTCACTGTTTACGCAGTATCGTACGACCTGGTCAGCGATACCACGAGTGTCAAGACCCGCACGAGTAAGATTCGATTTTTGATTTTTCTGTCTTTCATTTATAACAGTATAATTCCTGAAAACAAAACGAGCCTGGTAAAATTGTTCAATGTCATAACTCGTTTAGTTTTCATACAAATCATTAATCATATCAAAAGTAGATGTAAAGTAAGTAGATTGCATATTTACATCGTTGGCATGTTATCATCAAAATAATATTCATCCGGAGCGAAAATTGCATTCAATTTGGTTCGGGTAACATATATCATTCGCATAACAATAATTAGTATTCAATATGTTAAATTGATGTCTTGCTCTTATTTAGAGGATCGTTCAGTCTTAAAAATTCTATTCATGGGAACAAAATTTTACATCATCCTATTTTTCTTTTCATAATCATTTTTCGGTTGAATTTATTTATTTTTACTGAAATAACAATTCGATGCATCAAGCTTCTCAGTTCTTGCTTCATATTGATTATGAATCATAAGCTCCATACTTATTAAATATCGACGTAGTTGAAAACTATGAATAAACTCATTGACATAACTAAACTTTGAAATATGTTTAAAAAACTAACTATTGAAAAACATGATTAATTAACCATCTTATAACTAATATTAACGTGAATTTTTCCCACGCTTCCTGTAAATCTTGTACAGGTATAATGGAATATGGAACAGATAAAGGTACTATTTTCGTTTGCAAAATGTGTGTAATAGCATTAGCGTAGTTAAAACAATAACTTGCGAGTGTTGGTGTTTTTTGTAACAGTAAAATTTTACAGCATGGTGTGTAATCCAAATGGAAAATCGAACACTGTACGACTTACTTGATGCACGTTTGTTTTCGATATTCCATTCATTCTATACATAAACAAAATATACACAAGACAGGACACACTCATTCGTGTATGCAAATCCACCACGCTTATAACTCCGCTCGTATTTGAATCTTCCAAATGCATGCCGTTAATCAAAGATCATATCAATCTCAACATTATAAACAATAGAATGATAAACAAAGCCCACCATATCTGACAATTTAACGCATTCGCGGGCACAATTTATGCTTGTGCGTGCATGTTCTTTCTTTGTCTTCTTCTGTCGTCATCGTCGCCGTTGCCACCGCTGCTACTGCTGCTGCCAACAAACTACACACGCGTACAGTGCCGCTGATCCAGTCCGAAGTAGTAGTCGTCGTCGATCGTGACCAGCCGGACTCGCTGCATCTGCGTTACACGCCTACTCCCCGGGAATCGTCGCACTTTGATCTTTATCGATTCCGTATCAGCGACGCTGTCAATACCACGCAAGAGAGGACCGTCAACGACACGGCCAAAGTTTCGTTTACCGGTTTGATACCCGGCCGATTGTACAACGTTACCGTTTGGACCGTCAGCGAGAACGTCGAGAGTCGGCCCCTCATCAGAAGCGATCGTCTATGTGAGTAATGAATTTTTTGTTGTAAATCAATCGCATTTATTTCTATTCGTCTGCATTGAAATAAACGAGCCGAATGCGCGTATGTAGACAAGCACTCGGCAGCTCCTACGCCCAGTCATCCGAGATGTTTCAATATTGTGGTCTAATTGCGCTAATTGTCTCTATTACCTTGAATGAAGTATCAACCTCATTCCAATGCGGCACGGTCTTCCGCGTCGTTATAAGCATAGCAAAAAATAATCATTTATGTATTTTAGGTTTTCCCGTACGCCAGACGCGTAACTTAGCTCATTGCGACTGATCAAAATTATTTATTTATTATTAGATTTTCACGTTTTTTTTTCTTCCTTTCTCAAAGCGTTTTTTAAATTGAAATATTATCTCTGAACGGATGGCTTGGCAGTAATCGCTCCTCGCTCAACTTGATAATATCGTTCAGTGACTAATAACTTGAACGAATAGTTAGCGAGGAAGATAAAAGTGACAGTATCCACATTGGATTGCATAACGTTGCATTGACCAAACACTAAATCTGTCGTACAATAAAGCGAAAGTCGTGCCTGAATATGTTTCGTCGAGAGATTTTTTTCTATTAAAAATCTTCGTGTTAATCGACGCGCGTGTAACATGGAATGAACTCGATGAACTGATTGAACGATGATCCCTCGACAGATCCGGAACCGGTGACGGCCATAAATGCGACGGAGATCAACGACACGAAGATCACATTGGCTTGGGACCCACCTCGTGGCGAATACGAGGCGTTCGAAGTGCAGTACACCAATCACGAGAACGTCTACGTGCAAAATATCACCACTCAGAACGGCATCACCATCGAGGACCTCAGACCGTACCGCAATTATACCTTCACTGTGGTGGTGCGCTCGGGCTCGGAATCGAATTATCTCAGGCACTCGAATCCGCTGAGTGCAAGCTTCACGACGAGCGAGTCGTATCCCGGCCGCGTCGACAAGTTCCATCCGACCAACGTGCTGCCGAGCGAAATCAGCTTCGAGTGGTCACTGCCGGCCAGCGAGCAGAATGGCATCATTCGCAAGTTCAGCATTACATACGGTCTCGAGGTGAGTTTTGTTTTCATATACGCATTATTATATATTGTTCGATTCGATAGGCCGCGACAAAGCTTTTGATTTTTTATTGTTCAAATCTCCGTCGTTGATAAGATAAAGGCCACGCGATCGCATAGATAATAATTTATTTCGCTAAACTCGTCGCTTGACTTTTCCGATACGAGAGCTGTTGTTGTTGCTCGCGACGAATTCTTTCTCGAAACGCTTTAATTATTATTCTTGCGCGCACGTGGTACGGAAAAAAGTTGCACGAAAAAAAGTTGCTCTTTCGCATAATCGGTGATTCAATCCATAGACTCTTTCGAATGCGTCTCCTGCGCGCGCGTGGTGCCAGTGATCAAACAAGTTGCGCGCCTGTGCCTCATGTGTATTACCTATCGATCGATCGAAGCCGCGCGTCCTGCGCGACGGATTCCGCGTTATCAGCCTGCCAACCTTCACCTTCTGTCCACGATCCAGCCCGAAAGTCCATCATGCGGAATCCTACCCCTTTTCATAAAAATTGATGCGAGTCCGATCGATAGGCTCGCTCGAAACGCGCTGTATATCATTACGCAATGTTTCCGCGAGCGTCAAAATCGTCGCGATTGTGGGTGCTGCTCGCATGGCTGCTGCTGCTTCTGCTAGCGTTGCCGTGCCACCACCGTTGCAGCAGCACGACTTATACGAGCGGCGGTATAACAAGTAAAATAATCGCGTTGGCGCTTGCGCAGGGTTCGACGTTCACGCAGGCGCGGGACTTCAAGCCGACGGACTACCGCGGCACGATCAAGAATCTGATGCCTGGCAAGACCTACATCTTCCGCATCCAGGCGGAGACGCGAGTCGGCTACGGGCCCGAAGTCATCTGGAAAGAGACTATGCAGATTCTGGCGCCACCCAAGCCACCGCCGCAGGTCGTGCCGTCGGAGGTCTCCAAGACCAGCACCACCATACAGATCAGATTCCGGAAGAATTACTTCGCCGACGCCAATGGGCCAGTGACGTCCTATACTATCATCGTCGCCGAGGATGACAGTAAGAACGCCAGTGGCTACGAGATGGCACGTTGGCGAGACGTACAGAAATACAGCGTTTGGCCTCCCTATCAAGTAAGTCTTTTTTCCTCGTTTTCTCTCTCATCCTCTCGCGCCCCGTTAAAGCTCGTATTTTTAATATAATATAATATACGTGCGATCGTATGAATATGTGTATGAATGCGAGCATGAGTATGCAGTGCTCGATGCCTGCCTGCGAGTACTTATATGATTTGACACGTACGTCGAGAAAGCGCGACACGGGGAAGGGATGATTATCACGATGTTAATAGACAGACAGGCTAGACTACAGACGGAGTGGAGTAGTCGAGCGCGGGGTGTGCGTTAGACGGCTCAAGAGAGAAAGAAAGAGAGAGAGAGAGAACTGCAGTGTACGCGAAAGAGACAGAGATGCAGTTGGGAAGGGTGGAAGATCAAGGTAAATGTATGCAAAAGCTATCAGCGCCTCGCACTTGCGCGCAGCATCAGCCTGTGCTCGTGTTTTTAATTATAAAGCTCTCTCTCTCTCTCTCTCTTTCACACTCTGCGCAAGCAGCAGCTTCCGACCGCAGCGAGAGAAAGTTTTTCTGCTACACACTCCCCGGCGCTGAAAGCCTCACGCTGAAAAAGCAGCATTGTTTATCGTTACAACGGCGGCCCTTGCGCGTTTTTCACGCCACCCGACGGACTTTTTTTTGTTTCAACTTTGTCACTGTGTGTGCATGCCTGTATGGGGTGAAAATAACGAGAGAAACGCCCGAACTCGGACGCGAGAATAAAACGCGAATTTTGAAAATTGTGTGCACGCGCACGTCTCGTCTCACGCCCGAGACCGTGAAAGGAGCTGCTGTGTTCTTGCTGCTGATGCTGCTGCTGCTGAGCTTGATATACACGCCTCGCGCTCGACATAGATATACATCGCGTTGCATACGATCTTACGCATAGCACAGCTTGTGCCTGCAAATATATATATATATAACACACATAGATATATTTGCAACGCACACGAGGTTACGCGCGCACGCGGCGGCGCACATCGGCATAATGTTTCGCCTTGTTTGCATTCGCCTCGTCGCGAATTGTCATGCTCGTCGTCGTCGTCGTCGTCTTAATGTTGTTGTGAGGCAATATACAATCTATCGCCGCATGCACACGCATCGATGTACTCGTAACACGACGATGACTGCATCCTATGTATGTACACCAGCGCGCGTTATCTCGGGCTTTTGCGGCGCGTTAATCGAGCGAGTTTACATACGAGAGACACTCCGGCTCGCAGTGTACGTGCGAATCTCCAACGCGCTCGCTCGTAGTTTTTTTTTTTATTACGCTCGCGATCGATCACTTTTTATATCATTTCGAATTTTACGCGTCGATTCCAAAACTTTTATCGATGTCGTCGCGAGGCGATTATCGGCGGACGACGACGATGACGTCGAGTAGTCTCTCGCACAGGGCTGCGTCGATTTGACCCGCGCAAGAGCTCGATCGACGATAAACGTCCGACTCTCATTGGCACGTTGTTTCACATACGTACACACGGCTGAGTAATCATATCGTAATGCGCGAGGTTACGAGGTGCGAATGCTGCCGTCGCACCCCTTTTCGCACTATTTGCCCCTCGTGTTATTTGTTGAAAATATTCAAATTTATGCTAGCCAGTGTGTTCCGCTATAGTCGTGGTATTTAGTTATTTAAATTTTGTAAATATTTATGTGTACGTGTGTACAGGTGCACGCTGCATCCGAGTACCGAATTCGGAACAACTCGATCGATAACCTCGTGCGAAACGCGAGCCAATAAATCCCCGCCCATCAAATGGGCTTCTCTCTCGTGCTATGCACTGTCTATACAAAGTTCTCGTATGTATTATATACATATACACATGTGCGCGCGAGCTTGTATGTGTTGCTCGTACGTATACGAGCGAGTGCCTGAAATTCAGAAACGAACACGCGTCGCGCCCTGACTGCATAAATGCAACGCGTCATAGCGCAGCATCAGGCCACTCGAGAGCCCTCCCGGCCGCCGCAGCCACCCGAAACTAGGTCAACCGGTTAAACTGTGCGCGCGCGAGAGAGTGCCAAGTGCAATCAAAAATAATTAATCGAGGATTCGTTAAAATTTTTATATATTCAACACACGCTAATTCAGCCTTGTTTGCTGCCTGCCACGCTTGATTGCAGGTAATTGAGCCGTACTCACCTTTCAAGAACGGCTCGGTCGAGGACTTCACTATTGGCACGGAGGAAAATTGCGAGACCAGGCAGGGATTCTGTAACGGGCCGCTCAAGCCTGGCTCGACCTATAGGGTCAAAGTTCGAGCTTTCACGGCCTCGGATAAGTTCACGGATACCAACTACAGTTTTCCAATCCAAACCGGTACGTTTGATACTTCTTCTTTTTTTATTGGTTCCAACGATTTATTTGCTTAGATGGTAACGCGCGACTCCTGATAGAGCGAATGAACCTTTAGATTCGACAGAAATATTAATTCATCATTGATCGTTTCATCCGTTCATCCTACCATTCACTCGTAGAGTCCATTAAACAAGTAAAAAATAACGTCAAAAGTCATTTTCGATCAACTTATCATTTGAAAGCGACTTTGCTTTTATTATATATAATTCATGCATCATTAGTCATTGAACGAAATCTTTAAGCTTCATGAAGAACTAACTGAATGACCGATTTTGCACAGAGAAAAATTAAAAATTAACTTCTATCGGTATTGAATTAAAAGACAAAATTTTAATCAGCAAAAATTAATTTGAAAAAAACGAGAAATTCATGCTTAATTATTTCGTGCACATGCATCATTCAAGGATTGCTGTTGGCAGGTAAGCCAGTCCTCGGAAAGCCAAAATGACCATTTTCACCTTGACTCTTTTTGCATCAGCTAAAATCGTATGCATGTTCACAGTACATGAACCTCACTCTAAGATATCATACACGAAAACCAATACACAATACTCATCATCGTCATCATCATTACATCTCATTGACATACACTCGACATTTCTCGTGCATTGACAAGCATGCTGCTTCTCTTTGTTCTTTGATTTCGAGATTGTATATGTATTATTTGTGCGTGTGCGTGTGCGTATATAATTCATGTGTTGTATCTCGTTTGAAATGGATTTATAAATTATGATTTTTAAATCGAACGAATTATTCAATTTTTTCTTTACATTCGCAGACAAGGATAACCTGGGAGTCATAGTCGGTGTCATAGTACCAATCTTAGTACTAATTTGCGTTATTATATTGGGCTTAATCATAAGAAGTAAGCGAAGAAAATACGGACGCAAAACCACCGAAGCCAGAGCAACTGATGACCTTTCGCTGCCGGACAGCATAGTCACCACGAAGTAAGTTGATATATTTTTGTTATAAAAAAAAAAAACACAATCACACGTTATTACGAGAAAAAGTTTCATATCGTCCAAAGTTATCTAGTGATGAATACAATCCTCAGCAGGTATTCGTGAAAAATGCAATTACCATAATTTGAATAAATGACTTTAAAGTAACTCGTGTACATGCTCATTTGTCGGAGTTAGATTAACATGTAAACAACGGATGGGCGTGCCTTGTTCTAAATTGAAAAGTCGCCAGCAATGCGCATTCGCGTACGTATCGCGAAACGTGAAAACATTCCATTAATTTTTACTTTTTACGTTTCTTTACAGCCGACCAATAGAAGTAGAAAACTTTGCGGAGCATTATCGGTTGATGTCGGCCGATTCAGATTTCCGTTTTTCTGAAGAATTCGAAGAGCTGAAGCATGTTGGGCGGGATCAACCTTGCAGTGCGGCTGACTTACCTTGTAACCGACCCAAAAATCGATTTACCAACATTTTACCCTACGATCACAGCAGATTTAAGCTGCAACCAGTGGATGACGAGGAGGGCTCCGATTACATCAACGCTAATTACGTACCGGTAAGTTCGATTCAACATTTGTAAACGCCGACGTCTGATGGTCGAATCGCGTGCTGATCCAACAATTGCTGACCGTAATGATTTTTTGCAGGGGCACAACTCGCCAAGAGAGTTCATTGTCACGCAAGGACCCTTACCGTCGACAAAGGATGATTTTTGGAGAATGGTATGGGAGAGTAACAGTAGAGCTATTGTCATGCTCACGCGTTGCATAGAAAAAGGGCGAGAGAAATGCGATCACTACTGGCCCACCGATACAATTCCGGTATATTATGGGGATATATCAGTTACGGTTTTAAATGAGACACATTATCAGGACTGGAGTATAACTGAATTCATGCTACGGAAGGGGGTTGGTTTATTTTTAAAAGGAAATTTAATAATTTCCATAGCTTGGCTCATGGTAATAATACACATTTTTTGTAGGGTGAATCGAGAGTAATACAACATTTCCATTTTACGACATGGCCGGACTTCGGAGTACCATCACCTCCGCAAACTTTGGTTCGTTTCGTTCGAGCCTTCCGCGAGCGAGTCCAACCAGATCAGCGTCCGATTGTCGTCCATTGCAGTGCCGGAGTCGGTCGCAGTGGCACTTTCATCACTCTCGACCGTATCCTTCAGCAGATATTAGTCAGCGATTACGTGGATATCTTCGGAATTGTTTGGGCAATGCGCAAAGAGCGCGTTTGGATGGTTCAAACAGAGCAGCAGTATATATGTATACACCAGTGTCTTCTGGCAGTACTTGAGGGACTAAATGGAGGGAATGGCCCACCCAGAGAGATACACGATAATCAGGGCTTTGAAGGTAGTAATCGTTTTATTTGCCTTTCATTCATTCTATCATATCGCTCTATTATAACTCTCTTTCTATCATAAAATTATTTATATAACAATGATTGGTTCTTGGTGGCTTCAGTGCTTGGGATATTGGTTATTGGTATAACAATTTTTTATTAATATGTGCGATTTTTAAAGTCGTCTCGCAATCGCAATGTTATAGCTTCTTTGTATTAATTAAATCGTTCATAAAATTGTTTGGGCGTACAAAGCTTTCAAAGCCAGTGTATCGTTGTAATGAATAATATTTATTAATATATATTAATGAAGGTGTTATTTTAATTGATGTTTGAAGCAGAAAAAATGAAGCAGCTCAATATTTAGTTTTAAAAGATTGTATAAGATATCGATTTTGCAAAATTTTTTTAGTTTAAAAACAATTGAAAAAATTGTTCTTTTTCTTTTCAACTAAATTTATACAAATATTAATATAATTCAGATCTTTGTAAATCATTTGAAGCACTGAATCTACTAATATCCAAAAACAAAATTCATAAACTGAAATACATAATTAACGTAACACTGTAAGAAAAATTTATTTATATTTAGTGAAAAAATATTACTTTCCAACCCCGAAAATGGAATGAAAATATGAAAAGTTGTTTATTTTAAAGAACATTGGACAAAATCAGTTTCTGATGTTTAAATTTAAATTTTAATGATAGTTTCCAAATATTCTTTTTCTTTGAACATGTTAAAACAGTAGAATAATGTGTTACGAAGGAGTAAAATAGGATTATAAATAATTGTACTCCCGATCGTAACACTATTTTCTCACTTGAAAAGCGCCCAAATATTATTTTCAATGGTTAGGAAGCGAAATATTACATTTCCTTTTAAAAAGTAACTCAAGTTGAAGGAGAACTTCATGTAGAATGGAAATGCAATAGTTTGCTGCCATTACAGTAACTGATGGAAATAATTTTTTGTGCTTTAAATGTAAGAAAATGTTTTTTCTTTTCACTTTTAAATTTTTTAAATGAATAGTCTTCAAAATCGCTATTTCTAACTTTAGAAAAGAAAAGCAGTTCGATTGGCAGTGCTAACTCAAGTCGAGTTGAAGGTGAAAATAGTAATGCAAATGATAACGAGAATGACGATGAGAATGAAATTGACGTTGACGACGAAGAAGACGACGATGATGACGATGATGATGATGGTGATGACGACGACGTTGACGACGAAGTAGTCGTTAATGAAAATGATAGCGACGATGAAGCCGAAAGCGCTACTAAAAATATTACTGAAAATTACACGTTGACGATTGAAAATGAGAAAGAAAAGAGTCACGATATTATCAGTATTAAGGATAACGATAGCGAGCCCGACAATGTTAGTAAAAATGGTATCGAAAATGAAAATGAAACGAAAAATGAAAAAGAAAGCAAAAATGAAATAGAAAAAAAGAGCGCAAAGGTTATCGAGACAGAGAGGTGACATTCAAGCAGCGAGTACTACTCCGACGGTAAATTTTGAAAGACATATAAAGCTGCTCTCGTTGCTTTGAGTTTTTTTGAATACTTGCACGTTTTTATTTTCGTTTTTTAATTTTTTTTTTATTTCTTTTCTCCAAATTCTTTGCGTTTACTTTTTTAAATAAAAAAGCTTGCATGCTTGACATTTAGCTATCTGTTTTCGAGGAATGATTCTGTTAGTACACAGGCTTACCCTCTACTTTTTTGCTCAAATTTACGTTGAACCTTTACAATTATTTTTATAGTACTCTAATCTGAAAATTGCAACTTTCCCGCTAGTTTTAGGTTCTTGTGCTATAAAATATTGTATGAAACTTGTGTAGGTAAGCTTTTTCAACAAAACGTGCTCAAATCCCTCGCTTTGCAGAAAAAGCATATCCACACTCGTTGTATTATATACATATATTATTACGATATAATTATATGTTTGTAATAATTTAGTAAAATAGGATAAGTATAAAAGTTAAGTTCTAGAGATACAAAACATCAAAAAATTTTTAAGGACCTATTGAAGCTTCAAAAAGGAACTACGTTTTATATTTTTATTTTGCATGTTAGTAAAAGCAGTGATAGCTATTTTGAATAGATAATTATTTTATTTTCACTATATTAGGTGTGTTTTTTTCTTTTAAGTGTTAATTGATTTTAACAGATGCATTACTGAAATTGTATTTTCCAATTTTGCTATTATAACATTGATTTTGTGTGATTTAACTAGTATGATTTACTTATATTTATCATCTCGCTGAATGAAAGCATAATCATTGCTTTATATTTAACTCATGTACTGCATTTCTGATGAGCTTTTACATATTCATCGTCACTCGTAATATACTCTCAAAATTTATGACCAAATTTTTATGCATCGATATGAGTTGATTACATAATAGGTAACATAATTTCGAGAGTTGATTCATTATGATCAGGCTTGCAGCGAGCATGATAAGCAATTGTGTATTATCTGGTTTTTCAATGGTTTTATGTTCACTTTTTTCACATGTGTGTAATCTTTATTTTTTATTTCTTATTACAGATGATGAAGGTATTGCGGAGTCAGGAATGTGAGGAGCACGAGCGATTAATTCCGAGTTGTTCCCGTAACAAATTGAACAATCATGAGGATATAGACAGTATCGACGAAGCAGAATCGGTTAGCATCGCCGAAAGTCAAGAAGAGGAAGTAGAAGAATCTAACTCGTCACCACTCATTGATCGACGAAGTATGCCTAGCCGATGACTAAAAATTTAAAGCCCCCCTTGCACCCAAATGCAGACACTATATGCATAAAATGATGTCATATAAGAACATGTGTAATACTGCTGATTTATCATAATTAGATACTCAGCAGACTCCGTCCAAATCGTTGTATTGAACGTATGCAATCAAGGATATGCGTATGAATAATTGTTCTCAAAAGAAGAAAATGTTATTTGAATTGTTTGGCTAGTCAAATCAAACTATCGCTGATAAATATTACAATGCCGTTGAGTTTAACTTTTGTGTAATATAATAAATAGTTTGTAATGTATAGCTTGAAAAAAATTTTAGGTCGACTCATTGTAAATTTGTTAAACTTTTCTTCTTATAAGAGACATTCATAAACAAGAACATGCACATGATCTCCAAATATCCTTGATACGTTTACAATTACTTAATAATTTTTTGTAAATAATTAATTTACCTGATGTAGAGCGATTCATCAAGTTTTCGCGTTAATATTTCATCAGTTAGTTTTGTGATATATAAATGCAATTATTATAAATTCTATATATTATTATATCGTATAGAGCTGACTTTTTCAGAAGCCATTCGATGGTTAATTTTTATTGTAATATTTAATTCATCATGATAATAGCTACTATAAACTTAATTCTATTTCAAGATATTATTAAGATTATTTCGTTAGTGTAATTACTTGTGTATGTAATTAGTTTTGATAAGTTATTTTAAACGCTTCAATGATGTTGTTACGATTTGTAAATTCACGGAGCAATACGAGATACACAGAGGTCGGCTTTTGAATTAAAAAACGGTCGAGCGATTTGTCTTTTCAGTCAAGTACCATTGTAATTATGAAACATTATGAAGATGCAACACAATGAACGAATTTTCTAAATAATCTTGTTGAAATATGATCCAAATGTTATTCCTGACAACTTGGCGTATATGTCATTCATTGAAAGTTAATTTTAAAAAGTACGTTAAATATGTGGGAACAAAATACTCGCATCTTCGGAGAAAAGCATTGTCTCGCTAAATGCTAAAACTTTGAATTTGTTAAAATTGTGTGAGTAATCAGGGAAAAGCTTTTATCTAATGTAGCTGATCATGTATAAGTTTCGAGTTTTAAATTGTTTGACAAAGATAAGGTAACATATTCAGTGGTTGACCGGCACCCAAAAATGACTATTTTTCGAATATTTAACAATAACCTAATACTTCTATAAGTTATTACTATTGTTTTATCTAAAGCGGTCATTTTCTGGTTATATTCTAAATATACCAGTCAATCATTGAGTATATAAACCTTGAATAGTCGTTGAGATGTGCAAAAATTGAATATTCAATGGTATTGCCAAATGTATATAAATATATGAATTATGTTTTAATATCTCAATATTCGGAAATGACTTATGATTTGTGGCACTAAAGTTTGTGAAATATATTTATCCGTTCTGCGAGATTGAAAAATCTACATTTAATGTCAGTAAACATCGAAAGTTGTAGCGAAAATGTTCATACTCAGATGTCTTGTATAGGTGAATACATATCGCTCAATTGATAAAATTACTCATGGTGCCACGACGTTTGTAATTCTGAGTTACCGACAAAAATAAGGAATGGTGATAAAGTAATAGTAAATTGTTCTTTGAGCAATTAAATGTTATCACTTTGCCACTAATCCACTGTATAAATGTATTATATAAATGTTTCTGCACATACAAACTATGCGAAAGAAAAATATAATTTACCTTTCTGTTCTTGAAAATTGTACGCTTGTCGGTAAATCAGTCTTCCTAGAACTCTTATAAATGTAAGTTATAAGTAATGATGATCAGTTAAACATTCGTCTCTAAGACGTAATGACGTTTTTACGTTTTAAAACAAAAACAAAAAACTAAGTTGTAAAGATTCATCTATCAAACATTCTATCGAAAATTAGCGTGTATTATTATTAAGATTGTTATTGTTTTCGCAGCATTTTATCATTATTAATTAATAGTAATATTATCGGTTAGTATTATTCAAGTTTTAATTATTGATAGAACTGCGTAACAATTTGCCATTTTTCTATTATATATATTTATAGTATATAGATTTGTGCTTAAGATTTTTATTCCTGTTTCGATTTATTGGAAGAGCAAATCGGTGCGATGATTTTTTATCGAAAAGAATAAAAACGTTGATAATCCTTTCGGATTCGTCAATTGCTGGTTATTCAACCTGTTTAGAACGTTTGAAATTCTATTTTTACAAACTTGATCTGAAATGTTAATACACTGAAAAAAATGAAATAAAGTTGTGTATATTAATTTTTTATGACTTGAATTTTTTTTATTATCCAAAGTTTTAATGAATAATTTTGAATATTGAAAAACTCTTGAAGTTTTTCTCATTTGACAGGAGCCGCACAAAAACAATTTTCTGCGAGAAAAATTTATTACATTTGTAAGAAAGACAACAGAACAAGTTTGTAACATGCAAAAAGAAGACATTATTTCGCTATATCGGCCTAAGCCGTAAAAATGCATCGGATGTATTGTATGTAACCGAAGAAAGTAATTAATGAATTTTGTATTTATCTTGACGAATAACTTTCAATCTCATGCAATCAATTTTTCATAACTTGATTTATAAATTTTAAACAAAAGATGCAGAATGGATTTACGTCTTACTTTGTGATAATAATTGAATTAGAATTATTTATTGAGACTAACTCACATTTATTAAAGGAATCTATTTTACCGTTGTTATAAATTCGGTTTCTCTCAAATGTATTGATGTAAGATGTTACAAAAGGAAACAGCTAACTGAATGGAAATAAAAAAGAGTATTAGAGTGCGTTGGCCTTTTTTACTATCATCGAATATTTTCAACTCCGAAACGACTTTTAATGTAATGAAATGTTGAACAAATTTGACTGTTTTATAATACCATGATGTCATGTATGTCATTTTTAAACTTTTTGATAATTTTTCAAACAACACTTTTATCAACAATGAAAGAAAAATTGTATTAAAACTGACAATGTAAAAAAATTTATTTTAAACTTGGTATGTCAGTGAACGCGCATAATAAATATGGTGTTCTTTAAAATGAAAAATTTTCTTACGTAATTTCCCTTATTATTTAGATATTACTAATAATGTATTTAATGAAAGTTATTCTGGTCTGTTTTCTTCCATAGGTAAAAATACAGATTTACAATGATTCAATTCCCCAAAAAGGTTAAAGAAACGAATAGAAAATGTCTTATTTTGCTGTATGATCCAATTGGTTTTTTTATAGTCGGATGCTCAATTTTTACCATATAATTTTGCTTATATAAACTGATAAAGAAATAAGACAGCAGGACGTTTGATTAAAGCGCTAAAATGATCATTACAAAAACGCGTATTTGAAAATTAAATTGTAGCAATTTATTATATCTCTTAATAATGATATACAAAAAAATCAATAAGGGAGAGTATAGGGTGCGAATCGGCAAGCTTAATCTTGAATTACCGGGCGAGCCGTCTCGAGGCTCAATTCCGCCAGAGCCGTCGTCGGCTCGAGCTCCGATTTTGATAGAATTTCCTTGTTCTTGGCTTGAGCCGAATCGGAGTTTCTCGAAACCTTACCTGTGAAAAAATTCCGAGTCAGTTAAAAAAGTTTTTTTTTCGTTTATCTCGTTTATTTTTGAAGAGCGGCGACTCTCGATGCATAATTCATGCCCACGAGCCGGTCGGTCGGTCACGCTCACCTCGGATCTGACCGAGCATCCTTGAAAAAATGCCTCGAACGTGCTCGTCGGGCTTGTCGGCGGGTCCGTCGCCCTCGTTCGGCACTTTGCTGCGTCTCAGCATGCGCGTGAGCGAGTTTCCCCGGTGCTGCTGCTGCTGCTGTTGGCTTCTCGAGTCGTCCTTGGTGTGCTGCTGCGAGAGCGGCTTGAGCATACGCGACAGCGAGTTGAATTTCTGCTTGCGCGCGCTGGTCGCGGCGCCCGCTCCATCCCCGGACTCTCCAGATTCATTCTTGGGAAAAAGTCGCGTTAACGTTTAGGCGATCGATCGCGCGGGGGAAAAGCCTCACCTTGTCCTGCTGCTGACTCTTCTTGCCGAGCATGCGACCGACGCGCTCGAGGGTCGCGCTCTTGAGGCGTCTGACGTCGCGCACCAGCGAGCCCGTGCGATCGGTCACCTCGTTCGCCTCGTTCTCCTCGTCCTCGTCGACGAGGCAGGGCTTGGGCGTCGCTGCGACCAGGGTCGTCAATGGTCGCGGACAGGTCAGCTCGATCTCCTCGCTGCAGGCCAGTTTGTCGTCGAGGTCCTCCTGCTTGCTCCAGCTCCGCGCATTTTCTAATCTATCGTATCGAGGGGGGAGGGAATGACTTCGTTACTCCTGATCAAAATTCCTCGATCGATAAAGTTCGTTCGAGTCGAAATTTATGCTCGAGTTCTAGATTCATAATTATCGTGATTACATGCGCGATCCCGTGACGGGCAAAAGAAAACGCCGCCTTCTAACCTCCAGGTCGGAAGACTATCGATAACTCTTTATGGATCTAAATTAATTTCCGGAATAAGAGCGAAATTGATAAAACGAGCCTCCGCTCGAACGTTAAATTGATATTTGTCTTACGATTCTCGACTCGAGCCAGATGATAGATCGCCTTTGCTTTCTTTGTTCATTTCAATGTGTGTTTGTGTATCCGTATTATACCAATGAACCGATGTCGATTGCTCAAGACTCCCGCTGATTCATGTAGAAATAAAACGACTTAATGAAGGGATTTCGATGGGATTTCTAATGTTGCAATGATCCGCAGCCAACGACGAGCACGTTGTCTTGAATTATTTTCTATTATTTCTTATATTTATTTATTTTGTTGTTGTTGCTGGGAAAGATTGTATAAAATAAATTACGTTCAAATATACACGTATCAAAAAAATCTCCAGCTATTTTGGTTAACAGGCTCGTTTGTTCGTGTATAGCTGAGACACCAGAGCGAAAACTTACTGCAGACGTTCGATTGTTTTTTCGATATCGCTCGAGGCCTTTTTACATCATCTATCTATCGAAGGAAAGAAAACTCATTCTCGAATTTCATTGTATATCTTTTATTTAAACATTTCGCATAATAGACTTTTAAACAATGCTCATAATCTTATATTATGTATACGTTGTAACAATTTTTTGCTCGTACAGCTTATAATTCGTTGAAATTCATGAGTCCGTGGCCACGACTCGATCCAATATAACATGTATAGTGACGTATTATTAAAGTGAACTTGATACATTTTTTTCTAATGTATGCTTATGATTTTTATGTTTATTTTATTATCACGATTAATTAATACTTCATTCGAGTTTACATACATTTCTTAATCGATATAATCCCTTTAACATAGATTGCACTGCTATGTTGCGTAATTTTTCAATGAAATTCAAAGAAACGTAAAGCAATAGAATGTTAATTTTTTCTTAAATAATATTGCGTACACATTTAGAATCCAAATTTATGGTGTATTTTTCACACATCTTTTACAGTTTTTCAGCACTCTTACAATATATATTTTTAATTTTAATGAAAAAAATCATCATTAAATTATGTTATATTACTGATAAAATATAAGTAATTTTTGGCACAGAAAATTGAGCAGTTATTCTGAGACTACTAAAGTATAAGACATTTAACAAATATATCCAAGTCTTTCAGTGACAGACAATTACAATTTATTAAATACAATACAGCTTAATACCTTTTTTAAACGACAGGGTATACTTCATGCACCTAATTATTAAACACATTTATCATCAAACACAGAAACGTTACAACAATTTTTTGTGCACTGTGTCGGTTCGATTGTGTAGAAAATTATTATCTTATAATTTTAATTAAATATATTTAGATATAAACACATCTATTTGGCACAATTATTTTTTAACACAATTTTTTTTGACACTTCAAAATTTGAAAATACTCTCGCGATAAGCATCTTTGTTCACAAACGTTATTATTCACAATTTAAAACAGGCACGATTTTTTAACTTCACTTTTTGAAATTAATGGAATTGATAATATTCTGCACATCAAATTTTGCACAAAATAATAATTATTGAAATGTTGATTTATTACGCACAAATTATTTTTTATACAAGTTCTAACTTGAAATGTTGTGCACAGTTGTATTGTGCACAAACGTATATCGAGATTTATCTGTATAGAACTCGATCAGTGCTGCCCTCATATATATTTTTTATTGCTGTAAAAATATATGGAAAACTTATTCACGATTAATTATAATAAAACAGTTTTTACTCAATTTTAAAAACATGATGATCTTCAGCCCAACTTTTGCATAAAAATGTTTTACCAGCAATAGTGGCCTTTTTTTCTAATATACGTGGAATATGAAATTTTACAGGTGCCCATATATGTTGTGCACAAGGCTGTATCGAGACTTATCTAAATAGAACTCGACCAGTGTCATATATTTTAATTGCTGTTAAAATAGATGGATTTTTCTCGATAATGAACATGTTATGAATGATGCTGGAATCGCGCAAAGAGAATTCTGATTTATTTTTAGAAACATTACAATTTTCAGCCAAACTTTTGGATAAAAGGGTTTTACTAACAATGGAGACATTTTTTAAATTTAGTGAGTAAAATGAGTATAAAAAATATCTAAATAAATTTTTTTCACTTAAAAAATGATGAGAAGCAGTTTCATTCGTATTATATCTGGATTAATCATTGGCACGAACTTAAAGACTTTCTATGAAAAAAAAAGGTTATATGTAGCAAAGTAAAATATGAGCAACGCGTAAGACTTCTCCATCTAATTATATTAATACTAAAAGATTAATTTTAAGTTTGAGCTCTAATATGTGGGAGAGAAAAGTCATGAACATGTTATTGTTAGTTACATATTAAAAATAAAGTTTATTTGGCACATAATAAACAGTACTATTGTTATATAATATAACATAATAAAACATTTTTTAATTTTTTTTACTATTTTTTTCTTTTAACATTTTACAAACATTTTTTTTATTGTAACATTTAAAAAATTATTGATATAAATCTTCGATGTCAATTCCAAGCCCTAAAATGAAAAGTACTCAATTAATTGGTATAAAAAATGTATTATTACAAATAATAATTAATAATAAATAATCATTTACTCCTTGTGGAATTGATGAGATCTATACGCTCACGAGTAGCCTGATGAGCGAATTCTCTGTCCAATTGCTGATCTTCTCCCAATTCCCATCTTTCTCCTCCCATGTGTTCTGGTGGAAGATAATTACCAATTGGTTCTCGACATTGTGGGCAAAAACGCGAAATAAAATTTCGAATGCATGGTACACAGTACCGATGCCCACAGTCGAGCTTTCTGACGCGAAACTTTGCTTCGCAACTTAGTAGCTGACACTCTGTAAAATATTTACAATACGAGTAATGATAAAATATTCAAATTATAAATTGTAAAATAATAAAATATTTAAAATGTATTGATAACTACATTTCCACACAATGTCTAATGATTTTCGAGGAAGTCGATCAGTTATGGGCCCTACTTCTCCGAAAATTATTAGACATTGAAACGCGATATCAGCTGTATTCAATCACGTGAATGATACAATGTTCGATTACAATGAATAATCATTATTATTATGCTTTTCATAAGCTGTAAAGGCAACAGTTCAATTGACATTCCGGGTAGTACTGAGAATCGATTCATGGCACGAACCCTATTCCAGTGCTACACAGTGTCCAATGGTTTCCGAAGAAAGTCGATCCATGGCACGGACCCTACCACTCCGAAAATCATTTAGACGTCGGAACGCAAATGTAACTGCACTCAAGTACGTTAAAGTACAAGTTACGTTACATTTCAATTTGTATATATTTTATTTATCTGTAAATATTGATTCTAGTTGAAGACATTTTTTGTGGTAGATTTATCAAAATAAGTAATAAATGAGTTTCACATTGTTTTTTTGGAAACAATATTATTAATTAAAAATTTGAGAATAAATCAACTGTAGAGGCAATAATGCAATTGACATTCCGGGTAATACTGAGAATCGATTCATGGCACGAACCCTATTCCAGTGTTACACAATGTCCAATGGTTTTCGAAGAAAGTCGATCCATGTCACGGACCCTACCACTCCGAAAATCATTTAGACGTCGGAACGCAAATGCAACTGCTCTCAATCAAGTTGAAGTAAAAATTACGTGACATTGAATTATTACTTAATTAGATAAATCTACCGCAAGAAAAAATGTCTTTAACTCGAATCAACATTTAAATATAAATAAAATATTTACAAATTGAAGTTTTAGTTTGCCACAGTTTTTTTAGAAACAATATTAATAATTAAAAATTTTGAAATAAATCAACTGTAGAGGCAACAGTGCAATTGACATTCCGGGTAGTACTGAGAATCGATTCATGGCACGAACCCTATTCCAGTGCTACACAGTGTCCAATGGTTTTCGAAGAAAGTCGATCCATGTCACGGACCCTACCACTCCGAAAATCATTTAGACGTCGGAACGCAAATGCAACTGCACTCAATCAAGTTGAAGTAAAAATTACGTGACATTGAATTATCGAATAATTTGAATTTTTATATCAATACCACCTTCAAAGAAAAATAAGTCAAGCTAAGAAACATTGTATCGAGTTATCCCGCAGCAGTTAGTCTAAATTTGCCCACGCTTGGGGCATAAATGTAAAGCTATAATATATTATACTTACATAATAAATACTTTTATGATATTTTCTGAAGTGTGATTGAGCGATTAATATTATTGCACAAAAGTTAAAATGACTAATGGAATGTTAAATGAATATGATGATTATAAAAAATGAATAATATTATACTTTTTCTCGGATTGCGCCTCCTTTTTTTACGTGGGATTCCTGAATCGTCGTCATTTTTTGCCTCCCTGGTGTTAATTGCGTTAGCGTTGACAAGAACAAGTGCTGATGCGATGGGAGAAGTATTTGCTTCTTGTTCACCAAAACGAACATCATTTTGATTTTGCAGGTCCAAATTTTCAATTCGCTCATTTCCAACTTCATTCATCTCTTGATCCAACATAGAAGGTGCCTGCATAGTTGAAGCATTGAATGCTGACTCGTCGGTAGTTAAAATGTCATTAATATCAATTGACTCTATGTTATCCATGGCTCCGATATTTTCATCTAAAATAATTGGATAAAATTTATAAACAGTCGAAGACACAGTTATAAAATAGTTAAAAAATATTACCAGTACTATTGTGATCAGTAGACGTTATTCTTGGGTCATCATCATTTTCCTCATCCGTAGAAGCTTCAAGAGCATCAATGAGGTTTACATGAGGTTGTTGCCCTCTTCTGCGAGCCGGTACTGGTAGTTGTTCACCAGTTGGTTCATTTTGATCTACACTTACGCTGGAAGCGGCTGACACGTTCGTACGTGGTCGCCCTCTTCTACGAGTTGGCACTGGCGCTTGCTCACCAGCTGCTTCATTTTGTTCTACGTTGACGCTGGAAGCGGCTGACGCGCTCGTACGAGGTCGCCCTCGTCTACGAACCGGTACTTGTTGTTGCTCACCAGCTGCTTCATTTTGTACTAAATTGACGCTGGAAGCGGCTGACGTGTTTGTACGTGGTCGCCCTCGTCTACGAGCTGGTACTTGCTCTTGCTCAGCAGCTGCTTCATTTTCTTCTACATTCTCGCTGGGAGCGACTGACACGTTCCTACGTGGTCGTCCTCGTCTACGAGCCGGTACTTGCTCTTGCTCACGAGCTGCTTCATTTTGTTCTATATTCGCGCTGGGAGCAATTGACGCGTTCGTACGAGCTCGCCCTATTCTACCTGCTGGTATTGACTGTTGCTCAGTCGACGGTTGATTTGGAGCATTATCATTTGGATCAGACATATTTTGACTAATACGAACTGTAATTAAAATACCATATAGTATCGTACATAAAATAATTGAATTTTACTGATACTGATTTCTAATACATACTCATTTGTGTTCTCCTTGCTCTTCTCTCAGCCACTTCAATTTCAAAAGTACCTCCTATATGATAATGTATTACATACATATGAACTTTTGTGACATAAGTATATTATTTTAACTGTGGATTAATATTTTACCTGGCCCACTATCGGCATTCAAATTTTCTTGAATATATTGTATGTCTGTTTGAGTTATTTCTTCGATCTCCTCTTCTTCTTCTTCCTCTTCTTCTTCTGGATCCGGGCGACCTACAACACGGTTTCTTCCACACCACTGTAGCTGAGCGTAGTATAAATTAGCTAAACATAAATATATCAATATTAATTGCAATATAATTACATTCATTTGGAAAATAGTGAATTAAACCGATATTGCATACTTCTCGCAACATCTAATCTTCTCAAAGATGCAATATATCCTAAAAATTCTCTTACGGTATATCTGAAAATCAAAAAAGTTTTATTTTTTCAATGATCAACAAATTCAATTATTCAATAATATTATTCAATTATTTACCTCTCGATAGCCAAATCTTCTTCAGCTTGAATTATTTGTAGGTCGAGAGTACGCTCGTTGGCAGGTAGATTAAGTGATCGAATACGTCCTCCTTTCGCCACTTTTCCATAATCAATCGCATAGCTTTTCATCATTTTTTCAAGTACATCTGTAATTTTCATTGCTGTTATACAAAAGATTCAAGACAAATCATTACAACATTTTTTGAAAAATTTTACTTACGTAATAATTTCCACACCCTAGGTTGAGCTCCTAATAATTTAGTTGCATGGTAGTGAAAATTTTCACAAGTATTATTAGTTCGGAAGGGTTGTCCATAAACAGAGAAAACTTTGGCCAAAGGAAGCCAAAATCTCCTCAAATAGGATGCGAAGTTATGCAGTTTGACACGCTCTGGTAAATTTTCTGATAAGTTATCTATCAGACTGGTGATTTCATTCATACCTTCGCCGATTAAATGGGCAGGCAAGTGTGCTAAAGCATACGTATATTCTAGTATATAGTTGTAATTAGTAGGAACTCTTAATCGACTCCATTTTTTAGCGATTGCCTTAAAAAAACAAAGTACAGATTTTTGGGAAAAGAATATTATATTACTTCAATGATCTTAAAAAGAGCAATTGTATAAATGAAAATTTGAATTTTTAAAAATGAAACTTACTTGTTTGTAATGAAACAAACATCCACTAACTCGTTTTGGACTAGGAAAATGCTTCTTAGCAGATTTGATTTGTGCCCGTTCAAAGTCCATATGAATCGTTTGTATATTTCTTTGTAAATCGGGAATTATTTCAAACAACTTCTTCCATATCGCGTCGTACATTGAAGTCGTCATCGATGATGTAATGCAGATTATACTTGGAAATCCCTATAATTTTTAATTCGTATTAAGCCGTATGTTGCGTAAAAAAATTAAATTTTCAGGTATTTATTTTACCATATCGACTTTTCGGAAATGCAACGTGAAAATTTGGGCACACTTGGGTTGTTTACAACGAATCTGAAAAAATGAAAAAAAACTTTCCTTAGAATTTGAATTAAATAATTTAAAATATGTCTCATTCTTCAATGTGTTTACCTTAAAAGTTCCGTCACAAAATATTTCGGTAATTTTATTCAAAGGAGCTAACATATCATCGTTAATGAAAATTTGTGCTACCGAACCATCATCAGCTGTAGCTTGTCCTTTATAGAATGATCGTAAAGGAGGGTAATCCATGAGTAGTTGCCCTAACTCCAACAACGTGTCAGGCGTTTTCGGGACGAATTCACGGCGAGCCTTGAGCATCTTTTGCTTAAATAGATCAAACCTCACATTCCGCAGATTTTGGAGCGGGGTGTACCTGTAACATAACAAATATTTACAATTGATTAATTAAATTTTATTCAAAAACGTAATCATTTACGTAATAGAAAATTATTTAATGATTTTTCAACCAAATTCATACGAAACTTACATCTCTTTACATTTCAATCTATCATAAATCTCCTTCAAGCCGTCATATGAACTTCCTGCCAATTCTTCAAGTTCTTTTATAAACTTGAGCCTGAGTACATAGACATCCATCTTTTGACAGAAGTGAACCCCGGCTTGACATATTGCTTCTTCACGAAAAATATCGTTTCGATGTTGTACGTACAGACGTGCATCACAATCGTCTTTTTGCCTCCGCGCGCAACGGAAAATAGTCCCAGATCTATTATCTCTGTGGTATAAGTATCCCTTGTAATAATATATTATTGTATTTGCGTGTTTGCCGGGTAAAACTTCCATCTTTTTTAGTTCCTACAAATTTTTATAAAATAGAAAGAATAAAATTAGTACTCATTTGGTGCTCACATTAATCTATTTGATTTTTGAAATTTTTAAAAATATGAATTTGTCCGCGAAAGAAATTGCGCAAAAATCAAAGTTACGATTCACGCTTCCTGGTGTATGTAAAAGAAAGAGAGAGAGAGAGAGAGAGAGAGAGAGAAATTTCGCGAAATTTTCTGCAGACTGGCATTTGTCACAACGTACGCACGTGTGTGTGTTTGAGAGAAAAGGCGCTGTTCTGCGAATGCGCTAAATATATAACATCTCTAAACCGAATACGTGCATTTTCGCAAAAGAATAATCGAGAAAACCGAGAAGTACTATTCAGTATAAAGTTCAACTCAGAACAATAAAAAAAAATCAATTGAGATTTCGCGAATCTTCTGCAGACTGTCATTTGTCACAACGTACGCACGCGTGTGTGTTTGAGAGAAAAGGAGCTGTTCCGCGAATGCGATAAAAATGTAACATCTCTAAACCGATTACGTATATTTTCGCAAAAGAATAATCGAGAAAATCGAGAAGTACTATTTAGTGTAAACTTCAACTCAGAACGATAAAAAAAAACCAATTGAGATTTCGCGAATCTTCTGCAGGCTTCATGTGTCACGATGTACGAGCACTGATGTGTTTGTATGTGTGAGAGACAGAAAGAGAGAGAGAGAGAGAGAGAGAGAGAGAGAGAGAGAGAGAGAGAGAGAGAGAGAGAGAGATATGTATTTTTGCAAAGGAATAATCGAGAAAATCGAAAAGAAATGTTTAGTACGAAACTCATGCTCGGAACGGTTAGAAACCGAGTAAGGCTCTCGCGAAAATTATGCAGGCTCTCACAATGCATGCACGTAATCTTAGTGCAGGCTCTACGCATCGAAACTTGTATGAAAAAGAAAGAGAGCAAGTTCGCAAAAGGATACGCGTACATTTTTAAAATATGTGAAGCAATATTAAAAATTGAAATAATTATAAACAATCTTTGATTGATATATAAAGAGATCATTTGTCAATAACGCGCGTAAATCCCGCATCAAGTTATGTTTATTAAGCAACGCTACATATCATTAATGTATGAAATTTAATTATTGAATTGATACTTACCCTTTATGAAACTCAAATATTTTTGTAGATCGTCCTATTGACTCGCCAAATGAAAAACTATTTGCTGCTATAATCGCCAAATGTTAGTCGTAAAAGTACACACGATTTTTGCACGAGTCACGTGAATATATTTTCGCGAACAGAAAATATTCTCTCTTAGTAGATATCACGATTGATTTGTTAAAGAAAAAATGTATGTCTACTACTTATTTTCAGATCAAAATTTCAGAAAAGCACGTGTCGCGTTATTCACTTTTGTTATTATATTCGATTGAAGCAAAACACTGATTGACAGAACACTGAGCTAACTGAGAATACCTATGCGTGTCAAGACAAGTAGGAGTCAACTGATGGTTGTGGAAGGGGTCTGTTTCAACGCACACGCTACGTATCGTTCAAACCGAGTTCGCATCAAGCGTGAAGGCGAGAGAGAGATAGACGTATGTCCCCACTCCCAAACGCACGTCCCAATACTCTTTGTCTTGCGCGTGTGTATAGTGGGAGAATTGGAAATGTAAGGTGTAGCGCACAGTTTGTCGACCAAATTGAGAGGCACTAATACGCTCTTTTTTATTTTAGATCTTTCACTCTTTGGCAATTTTTTACGTTATATAAAAAGATCATTCGTGATCATGTATGTCAGTTCTTTTTGACTATGTACATCTTCAATATTAAACCCGCATGAAAAGTAATTGTTCAGAAAGATAAACAATATTTTCAGGTTTTGATCTTAAATACGCACGGCTTATCAATATATACCAAAATGTTTAAAAAATTCAAGCTAAATAATGTATGTACTATGTAGCCACAATAAACGATAGCGCAATACACTCGCGAATTGAAAAAAAGTAGACGTGTGTTCCTTGCTTCGTAACAACTTACAATGAGGGAAATTCACTCTCATGTATAAATTCAAAATATATTTTGATAAACTTAATGGGAGAATCAAAAACTTTAGACAGGAAAAAAGACGTAAATGGCTCCTAAAAGTCGTGGCCCAAACTCATTGGTGTATTGCATTCATTCATTGTAAATAGAAAAGTACAGCAAAGTATAGCTGAACAATATATTGCTTACATACCAAAACTGTCACACACCATTCTCTGAACTGATCACAACCGTTCTGGTTGGCGCATGGTTGGTGCTGCTATTATTTAATCATACGTGTTTTATTCAAATAATCAGGTGAGCACATTTTGGACGCTTGTCCGACGGTTCGAGTCGGTCACGAAGCTCAATCGCCACGCGCACTAGAGAGCAGGTGACTTACGTATATTATTCTCATAGTTCGTACGCCGTAAGGTTTACGCATTGACTTGCAAATACAAGTCGTGAGTCCAGCCAAACTTCTACGTTTATACATACATAAGGATGCTCGCCGATCGATTCTGCAACAGCTCAGTATGTAAACACAGCATAGTGGCGTTTCTGCATGAGCCCATTTATTGTTATTATTGCTGCTTGTGATATAATACACACAGGCAGGCCTTATATATAGTGATGGCAGTCTAGCTCTTATCCCATAGGATAGCACAAAAGACATTCAATTTAATACTTACGTTAGAATTATTACAACGTCAATGTATTTATTCTTAATTACGAAGTTGAATATTTTCCTATTCAGAGTTAAATAGTCGTGGGTAAAGTGTTCTTAAGGTTTTTGCATTCGATCGTTTGGGAAACATTTAATTTGCTCATGTACTAAACATTAAATGTATTTAATTGAATTTGGTCATGTAATGTATCAATTACAATTTTTTTTGTTGATTCATTGGTTTTTTTATACACGATGATTTATAATTATAGACATATACGTGAAGCTACAGAAGGGCGAGACATTTTTATGTGTTTTTTGACCGAACTAAACACGCACGAACTTGCATCAGCAGAGTGAGAAAAGCGAGCGAGAGAGAGAGAGAAAGAGATAGACAGACAGAGATACCCACAGCATCTCGTGACCATGACTCTATAGACGTTTCAGAGCGTGCTTATGACAAAAAAAAATTTGCAAGTAAATCCAGTGGAAGTGGCCAACCAATCAGTAAAATATCTTGTGCTGTGTCAGCTAAATCATTTTACTGTTTCGGATGACCACCGTCGCTGGATGGATGTTAGCCCAAACTAAGCGAATTCGATACGAATTGACTTGCTTCGACAGTCCGATACACGGCACTAAGTAGCACTGATACGTGCAGAATAGCAGACGGGGAACAGCATATACGTATAAGTAGCGGTGAGCAACGAACAGCCGGCCTATTCGCGGTGAACGCGTAGATGGAGGGGATAACAGCGTTGACGTTGATTATAACATCTTGCAGCAACACGAGTGACGCACAGGGCCAACAGGCAAAGTTTTCAAAAAGAATTCTAAATGCGGAAGTCAGTAAAAGTCAGGACGCTTAGCATTGTTGTATGTGTACGCGGCTTGGGTAGGGAGGCATTTTTTTAAGCTTATTGCGTACACAAGATTAACTTGAGTAACTAGATACACGCGAGTTACTGGTCTGCTGCTGCGACTCACACATACACGCACACACAAACAAATGACACACGCAAGCGAAAAGGCTTATTTCATATAAGATGAGCAGCTCACGACTCTTCTCGCACATTCTGCACAGAGACGCACGCATTCACACATGGACACGGCGTTACATAGCACTGCTGACAGTCGGATGCATTCTAGTCGAGTTCTAAATGTACTCGTCAATGTGAACTTTTACCACTCACTTGTTAGTCTAGGCACTAGCATGAGTTAAGCATGTATTTCGATGTCCCCCCGCCCCCATAATTTTTTTGACTTACCTTGTATATTATCGATATGCGTACCTGTAAAATTTCATATTCCACGTATATTAGAAAAAAAGGCCACTATTGCTGGTAAAACATTTTTATGCAAAAGTTGGGCTGAAGATCATCATGTTTTTAAAATTGAGTAAAAACTGTTTTATTATAATTAATCGTGAATAAGTTTTCCATATATTTTTACAGCAATAAAAAATATATATGAGGGCAGCACTGATCGAGTTCTATACAGATAAATCTCGATATACGTTTGTGCACAATACAACTGTGCACAACATTTCAAGTTAGAACTTGTATAAAAAATAATTTGTGCGTAATAAATCAACATTTCAATAATTATTATTTTGTGCAAAATTTGATGTGCAGAATATTATCAATTCCATTAATTTCAAAAAGTGAAGTTAAAAAATCGTGCCTGTTTTAAATTGTGAATAATAACGTTTGTGAACAAAGATGCTTATCGCGAGAGTATTTTCAAATTTTGAAGTGTCAAAAAAAATTGTGTTAAAAAATAATTGTGCCAAATAGATGTGTTTATATCTAAATATATTTAATTAAAATTATAAGATAATAATTTTCTACACAATCGAACCGACACAGTGCACAAAAAATTGTTGTAACGTTTCTGTGTTTGATGATAAATGTGTTTAATAATTAGGTGCATGAAGTATACCCTGTCTTTTAAACTCGCCATAAAAGATGTACTGTTGTAAAAATGTCCTACAATATCCGTAGTAGTTCTGCAGGAATACCACGACTTTTTCACAAGGGCGCTAAGAGCGAGTCACTTAAATTATATTTATTGTCGAAATTTACTGAGTAACATAGTAAATTACTTAATGCAGTTATTAAGATGTAAAGAAATATAAAGTAATTTATTCTTACAAAATGTAATAATGAAAACAGTTGGGAGAAAGGTTCGTGAAAGGTTGATCGTGTTACTTTATTTTCCCTACGGTCTAAGGCAGTAAAATATTTGAAAATTTTTGATTTTTTCGTTCAGCATTTATAACTAATTGCAAAATTTTATACAATAATTATTATACTTTGAATTTGGCACAATTTTGTTGTTGTGAGAAAAAACGTTCGCACAAAAAATTAATAGTCACTACTTTTTAAGCTAATCAGTAAGATTGATTCAGTCGTTTTTTTTTTTATTATTGGTAAAATAACCGATGGATGTAACGAAAAAAATCTATATTCCTCGTTTTAAAAATGTTTGATATTCATAGATCATTCGTACAAACGTTTAAATTGCCAAAAAGAACATACATAATAATGACACACAAAGCATAAGTAATTTTCATTGCTCTTTCGTTCTCCGTTAGTCGCATTAAAGTTCAAACAAAAACGACGTTTCAATATATAAAAATCCTCTCTCGTTGCGCATCGTCACTAATTCATCCGACGGCTATACGGACTGCGCTAGACTGCGGAGGGGAAGAAGCTGCGGTGTGTGTGTGTTTGTGCGCGATGCACATGGATTTTTCGCATCTCGTCGTCGTGGTCGTTTTCACCGGCGATGCGAGGCCGCGCTCATGGGCGGATCGTGCCACTTGAATTCCTCCTGATAGGTGACGTAGACCATCCAGTAGCAAACGATGAGCAGAGTGAACGAGGCCGGAAAAACGATTCGGGCGACCCGGTCGATGTACGAGACGCTGTTGATGTAGCGCTCGATGCGCTCGCCGTGCTTGCGACAGCCGTCAGCCGCCTCGCGTTGACGACGCTTTCTGCGGAGGGGGGCCAATGTATAGCAGCGTATTAGCTCGTTGATCCGATGAATTTGATTCTCGACCGCGAAAAAAAAGTTGTCCCTTTGGTCGCGCGCGAGCGTCGACTTACACGGATCGACTTTTTTACTTTTATATATATCACGCGTCAAAACGTATGTAATGCAGCAACAGCTGCGCGACGAGCACACCTCTTCCTCATCGGATTATTTCGAAAAGTTGGCTCGACATTTAACTCGCTGCTGCTGTCACCGCACTCAGCGCCACTGGCATCGAACTTTTTATTTCGCGATGCGTATAACGTTTTACCCCAACACGCAGCTCGATTTGTGCAAGGGTTGCGGCGCGGCGCTATAACGTTGGCAAAGTTTTAATTTATTGCTAAAAGTAGCGCTATACATATCGCGCGTACATCGCACGTGCAGTTTTGCGTGGATTAAAATGGCGATCCGTGTAAAATAAAAGTAAAAAAATAAAATGTGCACCGTGCAGCCGATAATGAAATCGTAAAATACATCGCATTATTATAAAGGATCATCGCGTACCTGAAAGCCATGTCGCCGACGAGACAGTAGAAGAACTGCCTCCACTTGGGCAGCCAGAGCTCCGTCTGGGTCTGTCGCTCCATCGTCGAGGGTTTGCTGCCAGCACCGGCCTGGCCTGGCGCGTCCACGTCGGACTCGTCGTTCGTCACGGTGATGGTCATCATTCGCTTCGGGTCGGGCAAACTGTACACTTGGTCCTGCGCGCATTTTACAATGTAGTCATATATATATATAAAGCGCGGATAAAAGGTATGAGGAAAGATGTTGGCTGCATTCGGCAATTCTCTCGAGGATTTAGAGGAAAGTCGCGGAGCGAGCTGCTGACAAACTCGTGCTCGGATATACTTTTTCAGTTTCGAGAGCTGCCGCTGCGCCAGTATAGTCGAGCAGGAGTTTACTATATAAGAGGGATACAGAGTAAGTCGCTGCGAGTTTCGGGCTCGTATAGCACGATTCCCAGTTACGAGTTTTTGAACACTCACACTTTGAGGCTGCAGACAATCGAGAGACTTTGAGTGCACTTACTTAGCGGCGAGGGGGTATAGCGCGGGCGCGCGAACTTTGTCCGACATTCAGCACGGTTGCTACAGAGCGTGTACGGTTTATTGTTACAAATTATACCGCCCGTATTTCTGACCAATTCTTTGCTCTCTGTTTCGATGTGAAAATCAAATTCTGGCGAATTAAGCCGCACGCTTCTACGATAAACGATGAAATTTCCTAAATCCGTCACGTAGCGCTCGAGGGTTCATTACTCTTTCTTTTTAATGAAATAAAGTACTCGATATAAAGAGGGAGCATTTGATAGGGTGCATTTTCCATATTATTCTATATAATGATACTTCCGCGCAAAACGCGTAACAATACAACGAAATATGTATTTACGAATTCACGTTGAATTGAATATATAAGCTCGATTGCTAGCAGCATATTCTCTCGTAAAACGTACGCGTACAGTGTATAATGACTTATATAATGCGGAGGGTAAAAATTAAAAAAAAAGGAAAAGAACAATTGTGTACAGCTGCACACGCGCACGCCATAAACTACGGATCGGGCAAGAATATTCCACAAAATTTCTATACGGGATAATCTGGTATATACAACGCGCGCGTACCTATCATGATTATTAATCGCTGAATCCTTTTCTTTTCTACATCACGTTGTACATGTAAATCCCGTTCATCGAGTACGCTCGCTCGCGCGTTAATTAATACGAAGTGGCAAGAGGACAACGTCGACGACGTCGACGAATCGTTGCGCGCTTGGCTTTGCGCGCAATTTCGGGCAAGAATACGTGTACACATACTAGTTTGGAAGAGCTGTAAACGCCATACGCAGAGATGCAGCCGAGGGGAGAATGAGAGAGAGAGAGAGAGAGTCACGAGAGATAAACGAGCCTTGTAAATTACTTTGCGTTTTCCGAGCTTATATGCTTGCGCGTACGTGTGTCGCAGTTCTGTACAGTGACTGGTATGTAACGCATGCTGTATACGATATACATTCGCTGCGGGCTAATGGACTCTGGACGCTTGAGTTGATTCGTGTTTTATGCCCGATACACCAAAAAATCCCCCTTGGATCATATAATGCGGTAATATCATTTTTACGACGTTAAATCGGTCACCGATTATCGGAGTTGCTTGTATCAATGCGCATATTCATGTCGTGCGTGAGTTTTCCATGATTTAATTGTGTCCATAATTAAGTGTGTACGAGTTATAAGGGATGAATATACAAGAGATCGCAGTAATTCGAGTCAGACGCGACCCACACTTATTCCACAAGATGTGAGCTTTAGCTATACTGCGCTGACTTATTTCTTTAATTTTCAATAAAAGGCCTTCAGGTCATGCGCCAATTGAGTATTTGTTATCGCGAGTACTGCTTCTCCCATTCAGCAGCTAATTTTATATAAATTACTTTACTTGTTCAAGCTTTTCATTAGCATCGAGTGAGGAAGAAAAAAAAAACAGAGAGAGAAGAAAAAAAGCTTCGAGTCTGAAGCACTCACATTGTAAAGAGCTGCGCAGAAAATGGAAGAGCCGCGTCGCCTAGAGGCCATAATGCTCTGATGCTGATGTTGCTGCTGCTGCTGCTGCTGCTGCTGCTGTTGGTTCGTAGGACAGAAGTCGAGACTACTAGTCTCGTCGGTGTCACGACCTATGTCCTCCCACTCGCTCGCTGTCTCGGGGTCTTCCTCAGCCTCCATGAATTCTTCCTCCAGTGGAAATTCACCACTGCCTACCTGCGTGGGGCACAGACATCGCAAAACGTTGCAGTGAAATGGATTTTCAATTTATTTTTTAACGTCGAGCTGGTGTTTATGACACGTGTAAAATGACATTGGAAATTTTTTAACGGAACAACTACACATCCCTGGTAAAATGTTCAAAATTTTAGATATAGTTTTTGGCCAACAAAAATTTCTTAAACATAAATGAACCATCAGATCATAAACCAATCAATCTATCACTAGGTATATTACTATGTATAAAATATACTACATATGAAAATATAGCAATCCATAGTGCAACATTTTTTCAGCATAAAAATCTGTAAAACTATATCATACATTTTAGTTTTCAGTTTTTATATATGTTTTTATTATGATGGTGTAATACATTTGCGTGCTCAGCACGACTTGAAGCAATGTACAACATTTTTGTAGATAGTGTAGGCGCCCATGTTACCACTAGCAGTAATTGTTAATGTATATTTGCTTTAGCCTTGCTGTGGCTAGTTTTTCAATTTATTAACATTTGTTGATATTATTTTAAGACTTCGGAAAAAATAAACATTTTTTGAAAAAATTATATTAATAATTTATCGTGCATTTCATAAATCCATGCTTCGACTTATACAAGTATTTTTACTTTTCCACTTGCAGATTTACAGCTAGAAACGTACTCGCCATCTAGTGGTGGATACTGATTTTAATTTTGATTGAATGTCCATATACTTTATGAGCTATTTAAGGCTCATTTTCAGATCATTTAAAATGCGCTCAATATTTTGTATGATGAAAACAAGCCAAGCAGTGGTAAAGTATTTTAAAACATTTTAAATGTTCATTTTCTGTTCGTTGTACCTATAGGTCATTATAGATTTTGAACGTTTTTAGCAACGATTTTGGGATAAAAAAAATGGAAGTCATCAGTTAGGTAAAATTTGAGCAAATTTTCATCAGCTTTTTTCAATTTACGTTTGGGCATAGACAGAACTATTTTCTCAAATATATCTTAATTAATATACACGTAATAATTTGTCTCGATACACATGCACGTAAATACGACACAGACAGACGGACAGACATGCAGCATGATATAATTTTGATGTAAAAACTGAGGCAAAACCATCTCGGTGGGTACTTTTCACCTTATTTTTTTCATTTTATTGAATCTGCCTCTTTCTCTTTTCTCTGTCTCTCTCTCTTGTGCGAGGTAATTGAGCAGCCACGCGCGCGGACACTCGCGACTTTTTAACAAGCTCTCTCGACGTCGACGTAGTATGTCCCGCCTTTTATTTTTGTGTGAGCTGCTTGCCTCGCAACTTTTTGAACTTTGCTCACGCCGAGGCTTTTCTTCTTCTCCGTCTCCTTCTTCATCTCGCAGCTTCTCCTCAAAAAGCCGTACAGCAGTGAATATACTTGCAGCACTTTTCATCTCACTCTCGAAAGAGAGAAAGAAAGAGAGAGATAGAGGCAGATTAGTCGAAAAGAGGATTATTTTTTATTCCTCCTATTTGTGTATAGTACAAATATACATGTTTGCTCTTGTAAGTCGGTTCACCTCGAGAGAGTGAGCAAGTCTGTGCAAAGGGACTCGACTCGTCGACGCTTGCCGGTATACACGTACACAATTTACAAACATAAGGCGACTTGATTACGTGCGATAGAGATTCAACAATCCGTGCAAGAGTCGCGCGTTAGCTAGTGCTGTAATTAGCACTCGATGAAAAGACAGAGAGAGAAATGCTGGCTCGGCTCTGGATTCGTCTTATTGAAATAGTTTGCTGTTCCGGGAGCTGGTGTGCAATAAGCACACTGTGTTATAACAGCTAGAGAGAAAGAGAGAAACGAAGGAGCTTTTCGACGCCGATGTCGCGCGCTTTATAGTAGCTGCGAAATAATAGATTAATAAATATAATAGATTGTCGAGACCTCGTCGAGCTAGTTCGTCTGTCGCTAAGCTGTCTCCCTCTGCGTAGGCTCATAATTCAATTGAATCGCGTGCGGGGGATTAAATAATTGATCGAACGAATGCGCACAAGTGGCATCTTAGCTCGCAACCAAAGTGTACACGGCAGCAAAAACTTTTATCCCGCGCTGCGTCGCTCTTCTTCTTTCTTCTTCTTCTTCTTCTTCAACTTTGCCTCAAATGCCTGGCGAGTTAGTGCTTGCGCGCGGCTCGTGTCACGACTCGGCCTGTGCACTGCTCGAAACTTTTGCTCTCTTAGCGCACGAAATCTTGACTCGATATTATAAATGTATGTATGCTGCTGTATCAAAAAAGGAGACGCGGTTACAGCTAATTTTCCTTCTTGCATTCGTCTGCAACCTGCCTGCGCGCGTTTATGCACGAGCGAGTTCGGTAAGCAAGGGACGAGGGCGTTGCGACGAACAATTATCAAAACGAGTTTCACCTTGTTATGAGAGAGACGTCGTGTATTTATAATTTATTAACGCGAGCACATCTTGTCCTCTGGAAGTTATTACAAAGCCTCGGAATTAGCTAATTATAATGTAGGCGCGCCACATTTATACATTAAACGAACAATCTTGTAGGAATAAGGTAGATTACTCTGTAAAAGTGGCACGTCGGTGTCTTCTTATTAACTCAAAAATTTACGAGGTACAGTTGTGATAATTTTCGCGAAGATAGTTCAAGAAAAATATTTATAAATATCAGGATGTTTCTAGTGCATTAAATGTGCTTAACGACGCATTTTATTCGTGCAACTATTTGCCTCATCAAAACTGTAAATAGCTCAGCTATCAGTAGTAAGTGACCACATGGCTCGCGAGTACGGTGTAAATATAAACTGAGAAAATACACTTTGACTTATACAATTATTTGCTCCTTGCCACTTGCAGATTCAGTAATAAATGTATTTGCCATCTAGCGGTGAAACTTGAAGTTTGATCCAAATCTTATAAAATAATAAAATTGTCATTTTTAGATGATTTAAAATGCGCTTTATATTTTCAACAGTTGATTGTAACAGAAAAATCGCCAAAACAAGTCAATTATTAGTAAAGTATTTTAAAACAGTTCAAACATGGTCAGTTTTTGGTCATTGAATCATTATTATTGTATCTAATATACAGTTTAAATAGAAATTGTCAATATATTCTCCAATCCTTGATTTATGAGGATTTTTAACGCGCTTCTTTACTTGCGTCATTTGTTTTTGCCAAGCGCGAATATTAGCGTGCATGTACGGATTGCTTAAAATTTAATATGATCCTCCGACTCGGACGTAAATTTTGAAGTTGATAAGCAAGTAAGAGGTAGGGACTAAAGGCGCGAGTTTTATAGCTCGCGCCAAAATGGAATGAACGACTTTTGCCATCGGCGTCGCGATCGCTGCTCACAGCGTCTGGTCCGAAATTCTGCTTTCGTCTCGGTTAGCTGTAACGAAAGAATAATACGAGTCTTGTATTGCTTGCCTCGTACTTGCCAAACTAAAGCAAAACAAACGTAGATAGATGATATTTGTGTTTACGGCCTCTCGACTGCTTTCGTGTATTGAACAAGCTTCTACTATCTAACAAGCTTCGTTGACACATTTTTCGATAAATATTTCAACACATTTTCGTTAGTTTTACTCACTGAATATATTTACGAATGATATTCTCTGGCAATTTGACCATCGTGGTTATTAATACGAACGCTTATTAGAATACGACAAGCAACAAAAATGATGATTTTATGAGACCAACAAAAGATTCGATTTCGATAATCGACTTTATGATATTAATTGCATACCAAAGGTCGATATTAAAAATTAAATAAATGTCTGTCTAAGTTGGAGTATTAGAAAAAAATTTAATTAGAAGAATTTTTCTGCCTGAAATATTCCCTGCTATTAAACAGTAAATAAACTGACTTAGCAATTGGCCCAGCTAAGGTTTGTAACAAAACTGCCAATGGTATACTATGATACACGCTTGTATGTATATGATTATAATATATAAAGTATTATACATCCGTACCTTGGTAAAATAATGCACTCCGGCGAATTCCAAGAGGGTAGCGATGCAGTAGCCAAAGCTCATGAGGAGGAACCAGTCGAGGGCCGTGGCGTACTTGACTTTCGGTAGATCTTTGCGCGAATCTAGGCTGATGGTCGACAAAGTCAGCACAGTGGTGATACCTTGAGAGACGCACCCATCGTCGTACGAGTTTTAGTTTTAGCGCATAAACACATGGAAGATGAAAAAAAGATAATCAGGGAAGAAGATTTACCAAGACCGACGCGGTCGCTCGTTGCCTCGCGATGAATCCAAAACGACACCCAGCTCAGTACGACTATCAGCACACATGGCACGTATACCTGCAAATTATTCGTTGTTTCATTTTTCGATTAATTTCCACGGGAAATATCACGTTAAATTGAGTTTTCTTAGCAAACAATCTGAAAGAAAGGAATGGCGTTTGTACAAAGCCATGCAAATGGTTTTGGCGAATTTCACATAGCCGGAGAGATTCTTGGTCGCGCGGCCGAGCGCAAGTCCAGCCTTTGAACTCGAGGTTTCAAGGCATTCTCATTAAATTATACACGCTCGGCGTATACGACAAGAGCATTTTCACGCGTAATGCGCATCATTCGAGGTCCGTTATCGGAGCTCTCAGCTCTCGCTTACCTGTATCAAAAAGTAGCCGGTGTGCCGCTGCAGATTGAAGGACACTTGAAGTACGGAAAACTCGCCCTCGCGCCTCACGAACGTGAGATTCCTGTAGGGATAGCCCATGAGATCGAACTGAGACAGAGCCATGCCCGGCAAGAAGTTGACGCTCGAGTTGTCCTTCCACTCGTACACCAGCTCTCCGGACGTGTAGGCGTCTATAAAAAAAAAACGAATGAAAGTCTCCGTGTATATTAACGCGCAGACACGAATATCTCGTCGTTGAGAGAAGGGAAAAAAGAAAGGAGAAAAAAATTCACGTCGAAAAAAAAGTAAACGTCGCGATCTTTCGGTACGAACGCGCGACAATTGCCCGTTGTCCACGTTGTAACAGTTAACGCGTACTTTACACTCGAGGTGAAATTTCAACGAGTTTTTAAATAGCGATATCCCTCGACGCCCACGACGGACTTTTTGCATATTACGTACGCCATTTGGGGTCTTTTTTTCTTCGTTCGAGCTTTATCCTATACATGTATTTCGGCTCCCCTGGTGCTACAACGGGAAGCGGAGGGACCTAAAAAGCTCGGTAAATTTGAACAAGTTGCATACGCGTCACTTTTTTCCCGTCCTCTCTCTCTCTCTCTCGACAATCTCCCACGCCCTTGCGCGCAGCTGTTCGCAGACAGTGTTTTTTTTCCTCTATATAATATTCTTATGAAGAGATTAAAAGGACTCATTGGCAGCTCCCTGCGCACCCATTAAACAAAAATTGAAAGCCAACGGGTACTACCGCGCACGGCCTGGATAATTTAAAGATGATTAAAAATTTTTTAATCCTCCGAGTACCGCGTATATATAGTCAACGCGAACGCACAATAGTGCATTCGGATATAACAAACAAGTCAACAGTCGAATCCACGCGGTCAATGAATTATTTAAGTGCTCTAGAGTTGAAAGAACGTACATGCAGTATATAAACTCTTCGAGCTCGCCAAAAATCATACACGCAAACGCGCGCAACTGCACAGGTGTGTATATCGGACGTGTTACAATGGGAGAAATCGACTGTGCACGCTGGAAAAAATAAACAACAACAGCAGCATCGAACAACGAAGCGAAGAGGATAAAAAAGAACGACGAGGTGCCAAAAAAAAGGAGGGGAAAAAAAAGAAGAGAACGCGAGAGGCAGAAGCACAGGAAGATACGCGTTATACCGAGCTTGCAACAGCTCGGCCCCGAAAAAAGTTTGTCGAGATTTTCCCGAGGCAAAGAGTCCCGAGTATTACGCGCAGCTATGCTACTAGGTATATGCACTGGCACATGTATACGAAGCTTCTTGCTCCATGCGCCGACAAAAGACCGGGGGGCTAGCGCGTGTGTAGCGAGATAAAAATAAAATTTATTCAGTCCGAAAAAAAACAGCCGTAAAAGTTTAGCCCGGTGTCGCGGTGTTGACGAAAAACCGGATACGTATAATAAAGCGCACGGCACAGCAGCACGTGCATGCACGCTCGCGAGTTTCGGGTAATCTCTTTAAATTCGTCGTGGTATGCATGTAAGAATTCACTTGGATTCTCTATCTTTGTGCACGTAAGCTGGCTTCTTCTTTTTTTCAATTTTTCCGTCTTGACTCGGCGCGCTCGCTTGGTTTATGAATAAATTCGTTTATATATGCTACCATTGTGTCGTTTGACTCATTACTCCGCAATTCGTCGGTCTTTGGGTACGCGCGTAAGCTGAAAAAGCAGGAGTCGCGAGCGGTACAACTATATCTTATCCAAATAATTTTACATCGTTTAATTTCGAAACTTTCCTTTTTCGTAAAAGCCACCGCGCCACACTGTGTACAATATGAATTATGCTCTACTTCATAAAACTTCCTGTAAGTGACATAAAAATGTATACCCTTCAAAGAGACCCGAAAACTCCTCGTCAGACTCTTTAAACTTATATTCGCTCAATTTTTTTTACGCGAACCATTCATCAAGAGTAAAAGACGAATTGATTTGTTACACATCGATATCAATATACGTGTGTTATCGAAGCAACAAATGGTCATTCGCTAATTTTTTTTTCAATTACATGCGAGATTGAAGTTCGGTAACAAGATGTGCTTAGTAAATCCGTGTTCGCAGTCTTAGCCGACGAGCGCAAAGATAAGCCAAAGAACCGGGACTATAATAGGCAACTTTTTAATTAGTCGCCGTCGTCGTCTCGGTACACGTACTTCAGATGCACAACAGCAAGGATAATTCGCAGGCACTATATAGGCGCTTTATTAAAATGAAAGAAGCTATTCAGACTGAATTTTATTACTATGATAATTCGGACCTTGTGTATACGGGTGGGATCGTGATTACGGCGCGTGCCGCGCGCGAAGAATCGGACAGAAAAACAAAGAATAAATGCGGATTAATGCGTGCCAAGAGCCAGCTCTAGTTGGCTTATATAATTCTGGCTGGGATTTGAGTTGACGCGCGTTTATATACCGTGGCTGGAGTCGGGCTAAACACTCGGTGGCACGCGCGGGACCAGTGCTCGCAGTGTAGAGTCTCGAGAAAAGAGCGGAGGACATCAGGCGGCCGAGCTGCGTAATAGCTCCGATGTTTTGTTTTCCAAGGCACACATTTATTTCCCAAACAACTACACCGTTACGCGACTTACTCGAGGAAACAATTTTGTTTAAGTATATCTATAAAGAAAGTATATATAGATAGATGCAATAGACATGCGATGCTTGTGTACTTACAGCTGCCGAGAATCAGTGGACAGGATTGCCGATCCATCGGGAAATTTCTCAAGTCCATCGTGCATTTCGCCTTGATGGTCAGTCTGCGTGTCATCGAGATGTTCTACTTGAAAAATGTGTAAAGGAGCATTGCCGCAGGCACGACGCACCGAGCTCGAGCCCACGCACAAACTGCACGCACGCGTACATTTGTGATGTATACAATTTTACGCGCTTACTCGAGCTTCGCGAACGAGCGTAAAAGAAATAACAAAGAAACATATTGTAGTATTCATTGAAGATGAGACAACCATTGCCCGACGAGTCTCGGCTTTTTCTTGCCCTCTTTTTTGTGCGTTCGAATGCACTTTACGAGCGGAGGCACGCGAGCGAGCGATATTTGCATAGCTGCTTTTTGCACCTGATTTCGGTATGCATGTATATAAAATGTTTTTTCGAGTATTTATGTGCGTTATAAGTCAGGACTTTTAATTGCATCATCAACTTTTGCTCTTACTCGCTCTTTCTCTCTCTCTCTCTCTCTCTCTCTCTCTAGTCTTCGTTAATGCTCGCGGATGAATATGCAAATGTCATTTGCCGTCAAATAAATTACAAAGTTTAATCCGTGCAATTTTAATACGCTCGGGCTCTTAATTTTTCAACGGTAAAGACGTGTAACGTAATTTACCTCGAGCTTTTCTCCCAATACGGCTGTAATTCGTTTTGAAAACCCCTCAAGAAAATATGGGCAAGAAATAAAAATGCGAGCCAGTATAGTGTCCCGAGATCTATAGATGAGCGCGAGTTTTGCAAGCCAAAGCCACCGCCACAGCCGCCGCTTTCGGTGAAAAATGCTACAAGCGCCGCCGCGCAAGCGACATAGAAAAAGCTCTTCTTCTCTCGTGTTCTTTAGGTACAACGTATGTATATAACGGTGACTCGGGGCTCGCTTCATAAGCAGTGTAAGAAAGAAACAATAAAAAGAGAGAGAGAAAGAGTAACAGCTTCGAGTATATATGCATGCATTTATGTAGTATACGGACCTCATCGAGTATAGTATGTCACCTTCTTGACTTATCCTGAGCAATTTGTTGGGCACAGTAATGGTGTGCACGTAGCTGTGCTTGCCATTGTAAAAGTAAGTGTCCGGACGCCAGATACGCTCGAGCATCTTGATGCTCAGGCTAAGCGACTTGATCGGGCCGAGGAAGCTGAGCCGCGAGTCCCGCCAGTACTGACGGAAGTAGCAGTCCATCGAGTAGTCCTGTGGTGCATATACACGATTCATTCGAGTCATAATATTGGCACAATGAAATTTCCATCGCATCGATGTGTGTCTAATTAAAATCGTCACAATGACGACGGGGGCTCTTGATTAGTTTTTAAACGATCCAATTTACGACACAAAGAGGAGAGATGATTCGTGAAAAGAAAAAAAAACAAATAAAAATACGGAGTCGGGGGTTGCCGAGCATCCTCCAGCTCGACGCTACTTTGCAGCCTGACTCTCCAGCTGATTTTTGCCCAGCGCCAGGCGCGCGCGGCTGAAACTATTCGATGTACGCGCGTGTGGACGTACACGCGATGTGGCGTCCACGAGTACGAGAGCTGAGAACATTAATCTGCGCTCCGCAGGCAGTATAAGACGCGCGCGCCTGCCAAGCAATAGAATCCCAACGGGACCTTTTGCACACACATACGTATGCGGCTGCGAGGGATGGGTCGACGTTATCAGCTGCCATACGATGTACGCTTTGCGCGCGTATGGATAAGCGAAGCTCGTTTCTCCATCGTACATATAAAAGGACGCGCGTGCAATTATTTATTCGCGAGCGTATTGTTGTTTTGTTTCGATGAAAATCATTTTACCAAAGCAAAAAAGAAAAAAACATAAGAATTACCATGTCGAGCTCGGATATAGGACCCATGCTGCGTATGAGGATGTTGGTTTTGACGATCGTCGGAGTACCTGCAACAGAAAAAGAAAAAACGTCACGTATGAATCTCAAAAATTTTATTTATTACAAGACGTACGGTTTTTTTCGCGCTGAAAAATGTTGGAATTTATGTTAGATTAATATAACAAGCTTTGTAATGAAATTTTTCGTCTTTGTTCTCCGACAAGCGAGACTTTATCCTCGACGATAAAAAAAATCGACGAAAAAATTTTTACGATCTCGACAGCTCTCGTCGCGAAATTTCGACAAGTCTCAAAAATTGAACCTCTTGTGGACCTAGAAAGTGGATAACAAAAAGGATACAGTATCATATTTTCAAAGATTAAATTATAAGAAGCTTCACATATCTTGATTTCATTTTACGATAACTGTTTCCTCGAAAAAGTCGAGTTTTCTTTTAGTGCATCGCTTGCATGCTCGGTGTATCTGATCGAAGTTTGGACTTATTCATGTATAAATGTACTGATAGAAGAAGAAGCTAATGCCAAGAATCAGCTTGATCTTGCTGTAAAAATAGGATGATTCTTGCCTTTAGAAAATTGAATTCTTTTCGCAACGGATTTTTGTCGTTACCTTCGTCTGATACACTTTGAATATTAATCCAAGTCGGTAGCTCAACGATGCACTGGGTGGGACCTCTGTTAATGTCAAGTTAATGAAGGTCCCTACACTAAAATTGTACTTTTGCATAGAAGTGTACCGTTTGCTTTAAATATTTTATGTGTACCTGGGCAAAAACGAGAAACAGAGCAGTCGCACGGTGTAAACGTTTTAAGTTTCGTATACACTTCAGGTATTGTGAATGTGTTGATAGTGGTGCATCTAGTGGCGGAGACTTGAATTGGAATTATCACAGCAGAAAAATCATCAAAAATAAGATATTTAAATATTTTAAATAATTCATTAACCCATTATTGATATTGAGAATTTTTATCGAAAAAATGTTTTTTTTCTACAACGTTTGGTAGTTCTATACACTTCTGTGAAATTCTATCACTTTGAAAGACCATATTAATTATTATATTACTAGATCGAAATTGAGATCTGATACAGCTTTATTTAATCATTGAAATTATAAGATTTCGTTCATTTTTAAACTTCTCTTTATCCCTTTTTTAAATGTCACGAGATTACATTTTCCAGAATTTTCGACAAGATCTTTGTGAGATAACAACAATTTTAACGTTAAAGAACAAAAATATAAAATAAATATTAAATGAGCATACCAAAGAAAGACTTATAATGCTCCGAGACAATTTAATGAAGATATACTAGCTTTCTGCGCGAAAGCAAAAAACACCCATAAAAATGATGTTCTCTCGTATTAGCTCGTTAAGCGAAAAATGATGCGCATAATATACATCGAAGAACGGCGCACAGGCTGAATCGCATGAATACGTATAGGTAAGCATGTAGCAGACCATGTAATACAATGGTGCGCAAGTGTGCCATGTGCAAATGTCTGCGGGTGTGTCTAGTGGATAGATTCTACACACACCCCATCACTTTTCTATTCGAAGATTGAAAAAATTTAATTTTTATTCCAAGCATTTTTGCACTCAACAATATTATAATATTTATCATAATCGAGTTCGCAAGTGCTATAGTTTGCATTCTGAAATGAAATTTGCGCATTATGTTGAATCAAATTCTTCGCAAAGTAAGATGGTGTAGGTCGAGGCCGCTATACTCACTGCCGAATCTTGTAACTAACCGAAAAGTATTTATGAAAAATTAAATCAATAATTTTTTGAAATTTAATCAAAAAGAATATATAAGAAAAAATAATTTTTGAAACAGTAATTTTTTTTGTTAATTTATTTATTTAAATGATACGAAGAACTTGGCTCTGATAAAGAGTTTACTATGGTTTGAGTCAGGGCCTAATGCATATTTCTTGAAATCATGTCAAGTTCAGGGCTTCATCGGGGCCTGCATTTAAATCATTCCATAATTATAATCCTACCAATATAATTTTACAAAAAAACAATGATAAAAATATAATTGAACAAATCAATTCTATATTTTTGAAGGATTTATCGATTACTTAAAAAGAAAAATGACTCGTTGACTTTTTTTACTAAGAGTGGTTTATTTCTGTCTACACTGTACACGTAGGGTCTAGTCACGAGGTCATCGCGATAAATAACGGCTCCGGAACCCGATATTTCAATAGTTCGATGAGTTCGTTTGGCCACTGGTGTCACTATACGCGTTCGTGGGCACATAGACGATACGACCCCTATACACATATTGGATCTGTATATACATAGCACCACGTATGTACGCAGTGAATTCGAAAGCGAAAGGAGTTTCTGCACTTAGCATGCGAAGCGATGCACATACACATATAGACACCGAGCGAAAAAAAAAAGAGAGAAACGAGAGACACACATCGATTTATTGTATATTGATTCGGATAAGCGTGTAATGAGATTTTTCGCGTATCTTCTGGCTTGCCTCCAACTCGCAGCTGATATTCATTGTTCGTCGGCTCGGTCTCTCTTTTCTCATTCGTTCGTTGTTCGCGTACGTACCATGGCTGCTCTGTAGCGTGGATAGCAAATAAAATAACCGGAAAGAGATATTCAACCTGTTCATTATTTACGCCGACAAAGTCACTTAACGGTGATACGGCGCGCGTCGTGAATTATTACCTCGATCGTTTTTCTTTCGAGTAATTAGGATGAGTAACAACCTTTTTTCAACAACGACGAGTTGCCTGAACGACTTTTTATTTATTTTTTATATCAAGAATCAAAGCGCCATTCGATAGATATTTGAGATTCTGCGTTATTTTCCTTTTTCTATATCAAAGATGATATATACTTTTTTGCATACTCCTTGTCTACGCGTGTGTGGTTTACATTTTATGCGCGTCTTTTTTTCATTCCTCGTCAAAAAGAAGAGAGCGAGCTGTTTTTCACTTTTTTCGATTTCTCTGTCTTCTCTAAAGGCACCTGTGCTACTCGCGGGCGCGTGCACTGCCTCTCATCCAGAGTTATCTCTCGAGGGCTTTTTTTTGCCATCTTTGAGCGATCCTCATTTTTTTCTGCTATTTTTTTCAGCGCAAATTACTGGTGCCCGCAGCTCTGCGGATGTGTGTGTGTTTTTTTTTCATTTTGTACGTTTGAGGAAGCCAATTTCAGAGAGAGAGAGAGAGAGAGAGAGAGAGAGAGAGAGAAAGATCATCGAGTTTGCCGTTAATTGTTCTTGCGCTAACTGCATTACAACGATTACAAATGTCGGAGGTCGTCGACGCATCGAGGAGAAAATGAAAGATAATGTAAGAAATTACGGAAGTCTTGCGGAAAACGCGATTTCGTGCGTAAACTATTGTATATAACTTAAACGCTTCGCAGAAGAGATAGAGAAAAAAAATCAATTAATGCATTATCCAAAATTACTCGTGCGTGTGATGAATTCGTCGCTATGCGCGCAGCTCATAAAGTTTTCCAATTACACGAACTTGACGTGCATGCACACTAGACCGGGCCGTTTTTGCAAAAAGTTTTGGTATTGCCTGGGCTCAAGGCTGAGCTTAAAGTTTAGGGTTTGACATGAAAAAGCCGTGCCCAGGAAGTCCAAAAAGTAACGGGAACCGGTCTCGATATATTTTTAAAGTTTAAAAGTTTAAAAAAGGCAAAGTTAAGTGGAGATCGTCAACTCACTTATTTATTTGTTGAGCCGAATTACAGTTCTATACAAGCAAATTTTGACTGCTCTGTTCTCAGTTTTCGGTTTTCAGAGCGGTCTTGAGGTATATTCATATTATTTTTCATACAATAACGAGTCATAATTTTCATGGTGTAAATAGAATCGATTAATTAATTAATTAATCGTCGCGAATGATATTTACATGCGCGCTGATTCAGCGACTCGAAAATTATTATCTACAAGTTTAAGTGGTAAACATTGTTTCTCAGTCTTAATAGGATAAAACTTCATTATAATATTAATAGTTTATACAAGATTTACATGGACGAGTGTAGGAACATGTACTTAATATAACAGAAACACGACTCATTGCTTCGACGGCGATGTTGATTGCTGCTCGATGCTCGTCGTCTGCTCCTTGGCGTAATTTTTCATGATCAGCTCCAGGGTCTTGGGGTGCTTGTACTTGGCCGCGAGGAGTATATTATTTTCTCTTTTTTTTTAAATTTTTGGGAAGGGTTTGGGTTTTCTCAATCTCTTCAGTGATTATTCGTCTATGATATTGTGTCAAATTTCGCGTAATAGTAATTGATATTACTATTCGATAATAAATAAGACCTAGACATTAGTAGTGTATTATTAGTATTAACTAAACTAGGGATAAAATTTGACAATTTTTAAAATTCGCTTTCCATCAATGAAATTGACTTTTTTACACTGTAATAATTAAAAGATACAAAAATAATTGAAATTAAATTTAAAATTTAAATCTTTAGCTGAATTTTAATGTATTTTATTCGTTCACAAATAAAAAAAATGGCAAGTTTAATTTTTGAATAAAAGCTTGACGTGTTTTCAATGACTCTAGCATGCGATATACTCGAGTTTGATCTTGAAATAAATTTTAAAACGACTCTCAGAAAACGTTATGAAATGCATGTTTAGGTATATTTCGATGAATTCAAAAATATTGGTCAGTCAAAATCATAAAGATTTTGAGAATCTGTTTTAAATAAATTTATTTTCATTGTACATACAAAAAAATTTTTTGTAATCATAGTTTTTTTATGTCATCTGCAAAGCTGTGTACATGATATGAATAAAATTAAACAAAATATAAATAATTATTTCTCTGCAGTAACACGATTGCTAGAGAAATGCAGGTATGATAATTTTAATAAAGGCAAGCGGAAATACGAGCTGAATCGAAGCGACGCCCTGACGATCATGAAGGTGTTCCTCCTAGTGGAATTTGTTGGAGAAATTAGCGGTCGTTGATGAACGAGCTCGGCATCTGCGCGAGAAACTGTCGGGAAGATTTTTCCAGCAATGGGCCGTGGAATCTTTCTCCGAGCTGATATGCCACCGCCTGACAATCGAGTGAGCTGTGACATCATCATCGATGGATTAATGAACCAAGATTTGTTGAATATTTGCTTGGCGGCTTGTTGAAACCAAAACTTGCGCGATGACTCTTGCATTTCGTGTAACCGCATTACTATGAGAATAACGAAAAATTGTATACACGTTGGTAAAAAATTGCAGCAAGGCTAATATGCGTATCCCTATACGTATGGATGATTGAAAAAAAATCATTGATATAAACTTGAGCTTCGATTACAATAAGTTGGTATTGAAATATAACGTTAATAATAACAATCGGACCGTTGAGTTTTACAAAAAAAAAATATGTAAACACAAAATAACTGCTTGTGATATTTCTTAATTTATAATGTTATTTTTTCATAAAACAAGCCTTATTATTGTTAATGGCAATCCAGACGCTTTTAATCAATAGATGGAATAACTCGATAAATAATGCACTGATAAAATAGGCCTATTTTTCGTTTAAAAAAGCTACATGTCTTATGAGTTTCATTATACTGTAGCTTCGCTTATTGCAAACTCATATGCAATTGAAAAAATAGCCGTATTATTTTTTTTTTTTTTTTTAATTATCAGATAAAGAAATGTACTCATACCAAAGTTATCTAGTCATCTCAAAGTATATCTCCCATTTTCTTTCAAACGGATTGCTTATTAGAAAAAATATACTTTTGAATGAAAAAAAATGAAAAAAAAATGTGAAAAAAATTTTTTTTCGATTCTTTTTCTATGTATAAATGAAGGACTTTTTATATTTTTTTCGGTAGAATGAAAGCAGAGCAGTCAGGCTTTAATTCAAGACCAAAAAAATAGAATTTAACCGAATATTTTCAAAATCAACGACTCCAAATGAAAAGTTGTTTTTTTGCTTTCTCATAGAGGAAGCTCTTTGATAGGCTTGAAATCGAGATTTGGAACTAGACGTCGTTGGACAATTTGGTTTACATATTTGGAAACTACATTGAATTACCAACAAATATCTGTATGAGTGATCGTCTGGTAGTTAGGACACTAGACAGTAAATCAAATTTTAAAAATACGAATTTTCATGTTCATAACCGATGCCTTTTATTAATATCATTTTTTATGAGGAAGCTCTTTGCCAATAAATTGGCAGCGGTTTTTTGTCTCGACTATTTCTCTTGCCATTTTAGTTAGAAGGGGCGTAGAAACATATGGATTTGTAGGTTTTGACTATTTAAATCCTTTTTTTGTTACATTTTCCTACGAGCTTTTTTCACAAACATACAGCCCTTTTACTGTGAAAACGACCTTTTTAGTCGTTCGCATATGTACAGCGGGTTCAAGGGGGCCTAGAAAAAAATTTTATGTACAAAAAAGGTTGGTTATTATGTGTACAATCGGAAGCCATAGTTACGATCCGTTTCTGAGAAATTTTTTTTCGATTTTTTATGCACGTTAAACCACCAACGCTCAAAGTGACGAAATTTTTTTTTTTAGATCGATGCAATTTTTTTCTCGTGCTTAGGGCCTTGAAAAGACTCTGAGTGGAGAAAAACGTGCAAAAAAGGAATGAAAATGGCTTTTTTTCGTTATTTTAGGCATTTTTGGCTTGTTTATGACCTTTTTTACACGTTTTTTGCCACATATTGTTGTCTAAATTGCGTTAAACTATAAGACCCATTACAAAACTTTATCAGGCAGTAGTTGACATCTTTGGGAAGCTTTTTACATAGTTTAGGAAATGAAAGTCCGGTTCGAACTCGAGTAGATTTCTTGTTTAGTGTTTTTTTCAACTTCTGAAAGCTTTCCACTTTTCTAGATAGCTTCAATCACTTTGGCATTTTTTTTTTCTGAAAATTTGGATAATTCCCAACAAAAAAGTTGCTGGGCACTTTTACTTTTGAATCATTCTACTTTAATCCAGGAATTATTTTAATATTTGTAATTTTGCATGAATTTCAAAAAAACCCTAAAATGGCTAACTTTGGGCCTCGGAAAAAGTGTCATAGAAGGCCCCAATTATTCTAAAAAATTTTTTGGACAAATTTGACATCAAATACAAGTTTTTTATATTTGCAGAAAAAAAATTTTTTCCCACTCTAACCTAAAATACGCAACTTTGCCGCTAATTTTAGGCTCTCGTAGGAAAAAATAGTATCTCAAACTGGTGCAGATATGGTTTTTTAACAAAACTCGTTACAGCACTCGCCTTCGGCTCGTGCTATAATCCCTCGTTTTGCTAAAAAACCATATGTGCACCCGTTGAGAAATATACTATTTCGGGCCATTCGATTTGACAGAAAATCAGCCATATATTGACTTGTAATTTTTAAGTCCTTGTCAAGATGATTTTGATAATATTTAATCAATATTTAATCAATGATCCTTTAGGTCTCAAAATTTTCATAATTAAATTACTTTCCACTCAAGTGCAGCAGATTTTTTATTTAGTTATTTTTTAAATCTACTAATCTCCATAGACCGATTTCGACGTACAAATTAATGCCCTTTTAGAACGTCACTGTACTATATTTAAGACGAGAAGGAGAGATGATGTTTCGTTAAGTTAAATCTATCAAGTTCTTGGGTTATTTTGTATTCAATGAATCATGACCAATTACATAATATATGGATAAACATGATTCTATTATATTCTATTATGTCTCAACATCTAAAATTGTTCAAAATTTAAATATTTCATAAATATGTTTTATAATATTCTTACTCCTCCAACATTTCTTAAAATTTCTTTGAAACAATCTAAAACCGACTGCGCGTTAGATTAGAGGAACGAAGATAGTCATAATTCGTAAATATTCGAGAAAGCTGTAAACACGAGCGATAGAACGGTGACCACAACGATACGTGCTTGCTACGGCAAAGTCTTTTTTTCATTCTATCGAATCATTACCTTAAACTAAATATAATTTCAATACGTTATAATCCTTAAAAATAAAAACTCGATGTGTAGAGCCATACAGCAGAGACCAACTGGATTGTCTTCTTCTCATGCGATGTCTCGCGGTATCAACAAGTACCTTTGTTATGTGTTATATGAATTATGTTTTTGATTGTAAGTTTACTTCGACATATACATGTGCAATTGCATACGTATTAAAATCATTCGCAACGAGAGGAAATTTACAACGGCCAAAATCGTACCGGTTATCACCAGCTTGGCTCGAAGATGCGACTTTTCGAGTAAATAAATCTTAGCGTCGTTTCGTTCGATCGACGATCCACGCGCGGTTAACGTGAAAAATCGAAAGAGAAATTATTGTCTTGCGCCGCGGTCAAGCGAGCTCTCGATCGAGCCGCGTGAATTCTCGTTTCGTTACGAGAATTCCGCGCAGATCGTACAGCTAGCGCGCACGAGGAATTTTATAACGCTCGAGTAATTATCAATCGCCGAAGAAAAGGCTGCTGCCGCGCGACCAGAAATGCAGATGCGATTCGAGTCTTCGTTCTAGTGGAAAACTAATAAAAGCCACCGCGCCGAGGCTCCGCTAATATTCAAATCGATCGGAATAGCCGCAACGGCTTAATTGTTTTTCGATGAAAAAAGGGGGAGAAGAAAAAATACGGGAAAAAAGGGCAAACGCAAACTTACAAGGTGAAAAAGAGGATGCATATACCATACAAAGTAAATATATGTCATGTGCATAAGTCGTATACGTGCTGAGAATTTACCTTTTCCGTGAGTCGGCAGCTGACTGTTCTCGTAGTTCATGAGAAGATTCTCCAATACCATGGTGATATTGCGCGACACGACGTCCTTGTTGGTGCCTCGGGCCAAACGAATCTCGTGTGGCGTCCGCACGACTGCAGTAGTATTGCTCGTTGCACCGCCGCTGCTGCCGCTCGAGAAGTGACGATGATGGCCGCCGAACTCGTGCGAGAAACTTCGATTTCTGCAGAAGCTCATCGGTACCAGTAGTAGTATCGCCACCAGCCTGTCGATCGACAAGTGCGAATAATATAAAATCGAGCTTTCTGCCATTTTATTTATTCAGCTGAGCGAAGCGAAGTCCTGCTATTGTTAAAAAACAGAACGGCTTTGTAAACACGATATTATCTCAATGACCGTTCAACCGATTGCGTCCAAATTTTTATGATACCTTTTTAGCGACCCGAAGATGTGCTTTATAAATTTTGGAATCGATACGATCATTATTCATCTCTCTACCAACCCGTAAACTTTTTTAGAGGGTGCTCACGGTATATTCATCGGAATTTTTGTATTAATACATTGAACTCGTACCCAAATGATATGATTTAAGTGTCTGGTGGATCAAATAAATCAGAAACCAGTTTTATCATCCCTTAACGTCTTCAAATTTGTTCTCACAATTGCGTTTAAATCTATCTGATGTCCACTAAACTCTACAAAATGATTCGTACTTATCAATTACCCTATCGATACCATTGATTTACAAATAGATAGTCCTTGGGAAAATAAACCTGCCTACACGTAATATACTGAATTAATCATTGAACTCGTGAAAGTCAGTAAAAATTCTCTAATCATTATTGTTTACTTTAGCATAAGAGTAACCAATGCTTATAATCATATTTCAGGTTGAATTGTGTATTGTTTTTGTTGCAATCATGGTAAAAATATGTACACCACTATTGTTTGCATTTGGATCTATGCACTTTACAATGAGAAAGCTTTCCATGACATTGTTTTGTCTTAAAGAGCGATATCCTACTGTTACATCTGAAAAGTTCGATACAGCTGATAATGAGTACATAATTTGCAGGTACTATTTATTGTTCTTATAAATAAATAAAAAATAGAAGCTGATAAACATTTCCTTTTATTGCTTATTCAATTTTAATTTTTAAGATGATATGTAAAATATATGCATATACTTTTTATTTATTGTAGATAAGAAATGATCTTTGCTAGCAAAAAGTTAGTATGCAATCACACAATTCATACTTCTTGTTCGCGATCATGGTTTCAACATGAACAAACACACTCCACCTACAGACTAAATATTTTAAGACCAACTACAACACCTCAACTTTAAAGGCAGCAAAAAACCATCAATCTACACTAGCTCTAAGACTTATAGAATATCAACGTAACGGTATTAGTCTTTTTTTTTTACTTCTCATACTTTAACTAATAAAAAAAAATTATTTATTTTAGAAACAGGTCCTCCACCTCAATTTCATGTTTCTACTTATTAGACTCATTCAACAAAATTCATCTTTTTTAAAATAAATAGCTGTTTATTTATGATTTCAATGTCATCGTTTGTATAAATCTTGCAATTTACATAAAGAAATTATAATTACTTGAACAATTTTCTTATAAAAAAACGTCATCATTTTGCGCTGACGGTACGACAGGTGTACTCGGATAGATATTCCTCAGGTGTTGCTGCCTAACACACTGATGTCGCATACCATGGAATGAGGCAGGCAACAACGAAATACATAATTACATGTTGATAGAAAAAATAGATCGAGGAGATATACAGATATACAGCCTCAAAAATTTACAATTTCTAAAATCATGCCTGTTGACAGTGTCTGATAGTTCTCAAAATGTTAGCGTTATATAAAAAAACAAAATGAAATTATTCTGATAATTGCAGGTTATTGATAAAAGTGATAATAAGGATAGTTCAGAGAAAGAATCTGATTCCAAGCCTTTAGTCGCTCATTATGACAGTGATTCAATTGAAAGTAATACTGATTGTTCAACTTCACTTAAGATTCGGATTCCAAGCCCAATGAAGTATTGAATGTTAAATAACAGAATATAACCACTGATTTAAAAGTGTTGAAAATCATGATAAAAGTATATCACAAAAAAACTATATTGGTTTATAATGCATAGATGTTCGTCAAGGATTCTGTCGCAGGGGAACTATGGAATCGAAAGCTGCTTATATTAATATACCTTTTTCCAAAAATGAAATTATTGCTGATACCGTTCTTGAGCCTAAAGAAGTGAATGATTTAGCTTCTATTGATCAAGGCAAATGAAAAAATATTTAGAGACAATTTTAATGATATTACTCAGTTTGGTCAGACAGCTTTGCTACCTGAAAAAATGGATGAATCTAAATTATCACCTTTGGAAAGCACACTTGTAAGATAAATTGACAAAGCACCCGATGTAGAAACTGTACCTAATCAGGAAACAATGAAGATAAGAGAGCCTCATGAAACTTCTTTCACCTGAAATACTCACTGAAAAGCATAATCTGCACATATCAAATCAATTGGAAAGGTAATGATCATCATAAATGGATTCTTCTGTGCAATGGTGGTGATCAAGATTGCTATTGTTCTTGTTTAAGGCCTATGTGAACTTGTGGGCCATCAAGAGGTTCTAGTTTGGATGACGATTATAATTCAAGCGGCGGATCTAGCACATATAAACCTTGCTCTGAGTGAGCCTGTTTATCAACTAAGAGAAAGATAAACCACAAATCCTTCCTACAACTTTACTGAAGACAATGAATTGATCAAAGCTGCTATCACAGATTTTGAATCTTGAAAAGTAAGTTGAAATCACTAAAAAATATCAAGTTAACTATTATAACTGTATAAAAATACCTTAATGCATTACCTGTTCCACTAGCAACACTCATGAAATGAGGGGAAAATGAAATTGCTGAAGAAGAATTGAACTGGTACACATACTTGTGGAAGAAAAAGTCACCTCAATTCTATGCCATCTAATAGTAACAAGGTTTGTTTGATTTAAAGCATAATTAAAAATTAATGATTTAATTGATCCTAAGACCATTTATTTTTTTTAGGAGTGAAAGAAAGCATTGAGAAAAACTGAGGATGGTGGTGTACTGGACTCTGCAACAGCACAAACTGCATTGCACAAAGCTGCTGCAAAGATAGCAATACAACAATCTTTCGTACCAGCATTTTCTGTTGGTTCTGCGCAAAATGCTCCTCCAGCACTTGGAGGTGATGGTCTGGCTAAGCAAATTCTTGTTTAAGAAAGTGGAAATCAACGTAAACGTAAACGCGGTAGTGAAATGTTCGAGGTCTTTCAGCTCATGTTTGGACAATGTGCTCAGGTAAATTTACTTTAATCAATTTGAACACTCAATCATAGACTTCTCGTTATAAAAAAAAATGATAACAAATGTAAATACTGATGTATAAAATTTAATGCTTTTTCATCAAAGGTAAGTATAGTAGTACATGGACGACGAGATATTGGTTTGCAACAATACCTGGCTTCGGAAAAAAGTATAACTAATCAACAACCTACATCGATCTTGCAACCAATGATATTCAATCACACAGCAGTCAAGCAGTGGCGACCATATGTCGCAAGCACAGCAGTTTTACTCAGTGAATTAATCTTAGATAGCAACGAATTTTTTGAAACTTGCATTCAAGAAATCGCTCAAAAAAGTTTTGGATCACTAAGAATTGGGGTAAATAAGCAACGACAGATGGAGTTGGTTCATTTTTGTGAATTTAGTATGAAATATGAATTTGTTGCTAGTCGATACTTGGTACGTGTAAATTTCATTTTGTTAGACCCTATATACTCTATGTTTATACAGGTACTTAAAATTTTTAATTATATAGCCATAGAAATATAAACAAAAATTAAATTTATGAACAACAGTGACGAAATGAATAAAAAAAAGGAATATGTACAAAAATAATTCATGGAAAATGAATAGTTAAAAAATAAATAATGATGATAAAAAATGAATGAAAATAAAGAGTTGTAAAAACAAATAATAAAAATGAAAAAAAAAACATGCAAGAGTAATCAGAAATTGAATGTCAATAGAAAAACTACAAATAAAAAAGCTAAATAAAGAAACTGAAAGAATTTAATGATTAATTGAAAAAAAATTCATGAATATTATCACTTATCAAAATTAAACGATCACATATTTTTTCTATTTATTTATAATTTTATCGACTCCTCAATTAAGATTCTCATTATTTCTGAATTGAAAAAGATTTTATTGTCAAATATAAAAAATTAACATAGCTACAAGATTCACGTTATTTGCGATAATTTGTCGCATTTTCGCAATTCGCCTTACGATTTAAAACAGTTCATTTTTTGGAACTAATTTCTATGGTGTTTATTTCACTGCAATGTAATTTTATTGGCACGCACATAAGTTATATTACTATAAAACTGAGATTCACGTTATCACATCATACATTCATATAAAATAATATCGATTCATGTAAAATGTGGGGTGCGAACCACCTCAATAAGATCGACGACGTTTGCACTCATTAATACGCTGTTTAAGAGTTTCAGAATCTCGTGTTATAATATAAGCTTCAGTTATTTTGTTTTTCACCCAAGAAAGAATGAGTTAAGTAACGTTGTTTTACAATGGAAAGTCAACGAACAATTTTATCGATTACCGAAGAATAAATCGGTATGAAGTCACATTTCGATCGTTACCAGAGAAAATTTCTAAAAATTTCAATAATTTAGTATTAGGTCCGCGAGGAAATAATTTGTTGTATTTACTCATGATATTGAGTCAAATCAGAGAGTAAAAAATATTATAAGACTTCTCGTTGTAATGACACTTAATCAGTCACCGACAACAATAGTTGAAATAAATTAAGTTGAAAGTTACCTTCTAGATACGGATAAAAATATGTTATTTTTGTGATTCATCGACATTTTAAAGACAAAAGTGATGTCGTTTGCATTTCAAATAATTCGATGATAAAATTAAAGTATCATTCATATACATCACTTCATACATTTCCATTCAAGGTTAACTGATCATATGGCTGTATTCTTATTTTGTGTTCAACGTTCATTACTCCCAGATATCAGAATGTTTACCTTGATCAAAGCGTAAGATGTATAATCTCGAGTGAGATTATTATTTATTCGCTGGGTTATGTCAATTTTCCAGCTAGAAATTCTCTCATTTCACGATGTGTCCGATTATCTTTTTATTTATCGAACATTTGTAAATTACACTCGTACGTATAAAGTATTAGGGATGTGGAATTGAAGGAAATTTCAAAGAGTTGTCAGTGCTGCTTTTATCGAGCACTTGAACTCATGTTTTGTCAACGAACAGTAGTTTCCAACGTCAAAGAAACGATTGGTGGCCCTAAAAAGGGCCGATTAGTTCTGAAATTCAGAACGCTAAGTCAGATGAATTACTTGGCGCTATTGTACTTGGTGACGGCTTTGGTCCCTTCGCTGATCGCGTGCTTGGCCAGCTCTCCCGGCAACAGAAGTCTGACGGCCGTTTGGATCTCCCGAGACGTGATGGTGGACTTTTTCGAGTAGGCAGCGAGACGGGAGGCCTCCGTGGCGATGCGCTCGAAGATGTCGTTGACCAAACTGTTCATGATGCTCATGGCCTTGGAGGAGACACCGGTGTCTGGGTGAACCTGCTTCAGGACCTTGTAGAGGTAGATGCCGAAGCTCTCTTTGCGTGACTTTCTCTTGACCTTCTTGTCCGTGCGGGAGATGTTCTTCCTCGCCACAGTCGTCTCCTTCTTAATGGACTTTCCGGTCGAAGCTTTGGGAGCCATTTTCGTCTTTTTCTATCTCTCTGGGTCTCTCTGGATATTCGTTACGTCAGCAACGAGTGACAGTCAGCGATTTGATGGGAGCGTGCGACGCGTTCGAGCTATTTATGCGAGCAAGCTCGTCGCGGCCCCACCAGTCGGACTGCCATCTATCGCGTTAGAGGGGGAACAGCTCGCGGAACGGGGGATCCGACAGCTCTCTCGACTTTCCCACTCTTTCAACCGGTCGAGAGACCGGCCACGCACGATTCGGCTGCGATTATAAAACTGCTTGACCAGCCAGACTGGGCTCATTCGTCTGCTCGCAAGCCGATCAAGCGCCTTCTCCGTCACATATCAAAACCGCTCGAAGATGTCTGGAAGTCAAGGAAAATACGTCAGCATGGGCAAGGTGCCGAAAAGCGGAAAAAAGAGGTCTCGATCGATGAGGGCCGGACTCCAGTTCCCGGTGGGCAGGCTACATCGTCAGCTGCGCAAGGGCAGATACTCGAAGCGAGTCGGCACCGGAGCTCCCATCTACATGGCTGCCGTCATCGAGTACTTGGCCGCCGAGGTCCTGGAGCTGTCGGGAAACGCGGCCCGCGACAACAAGAAGACGAGGATCATCCCGAGGCACTTCCAGCTGGCAGTCCGCAACGACGACGAGCTGAGCAAGCTACTGGCAGGCGTCACCGTGGCCCAGGGTGGTGCGGTGCCTTTCATCCACTCGACTCTTCTACCGGTGAGGCGGACCGCCATTAAGAAGGAATAATTATATCCACGACTACTACGTCAAAATCAGCCCTTTTCAGGGCTCATAATTTATTAACAACGTTTTGAACAAACAATTCGACTCTCGTTATAGCTGCGCGTTCGTGTAGTTGGCTATTATTGAGAAATTTCTGTCGAGTCCAATAAAGCAAAAATACCGTAACTTTTCAATATTGATTTTAACAGATACATCAAGGACAGATGAAAATCTCGGCTCATTATTGACACAAATTCAAACTCGTACACTTGATTTTTAATCGAAAATTCACGCAATATCTGTACATCGATATTTGAAAAGTATATCATAAATCTTTATCGATGTTTTCATGCAGGTGTACAATAAGAAAATGGATCGATCAATTCAAAATTTCCATTTCTTTGTCGGCGTCCATTAAAAGTATCAAACCATCTGTTTAAAAATATTGATGATGGTTTCAAACTCTAAACAGCTTCAGTAGATATCTCTCTGCTTTGCTCGCGACGATGTTATGTTGGAAACTTATGAATATCTATACGAACAAATTCGTCTAAAGTAAGAGTATGTATGCTAGCCAAGGTCACTCGATAATTTTTCGCGTTTTCGCAATTCATACATGTCATTCATCAGATTGTAAATGTCGAATATTATACGTCAGCAGTAAAGTAGCCAAACAGTTTGTATCTACTGGGAATTTCGCAGTGTTGACTCTCGAAGGCCGAGGCCGCTCGTTTGACTGCGGCCATACATTCGTTAGACGACGGTCATAATATTGAATTTGACATTATGCTCTCTGAAGAATACAAGAAAATTTCTAGAGTTCAAGGACATTATCGGTACATCGTAATAGCGCCAGTAAACGTACGAATTTTTGTCTTCTTGTATCGTTTCCAAGCATTGGTAAACTGCGTACTTAATGACTGTATGTGACTGTAAGTGATACAATTGTGTACGATAATAATCAAAATATATGGCTCACTACAGACTGCGAGGGTAGCTATAAATAGCCTTGAAGAAATAGTTAAATTCGAATATTAATAGATACATCGCAAAAAGTATTAACACAGAAATATTCGATTTGTTTATTGCTAAGTCAGTTTATTAACTGACAGTAGAAACTGCTCCTTAAATTAATTTTTGTTGAATGAAAAGTATACATTTAACTTGAATTAATATCTCCAAGAATAAATAATATAAGAGGAATAAGCTTGAAATCGTCTTCTAACTTGTGCCCGTATAGTTTATTATGATCAAAGGAAAAAAGTAAAACCGAATTGAATGAGGTAACGCATAGATACGACTATGTCACAGTGAAATTGAAAAAATATTTTCATCACTGATATCATATTTTACCAAGTTTATAAATTAATGTGAATGAATAATAGACTTTGAAGTTAATTAACTAGATCTCTCTCATCGAAAACGAAAATGTAACTCTTTATAATGTTTATGAGAAAAAATGTTGACTGTTGTTGATTGAAATGAATTTCAATCAAGGTCAACCGAGGTGTGAAAAGCAAATCAAAGATTTGTTCTTACGTTTGAATGAATTTGGTAGCCCTAAAAAGGGCTGTTTAATTTTCGTTGTAGTGTTTTACATTCTGTCATGTAATGTAAAAGTTGGCGTAACTTTATTTTTCATAATTTTACGCTCGCTCACGACGAATTCTTATGGCCAACTGTATGTCCTTGGGCATGATCGTGACTCGCTTGGCGTGGATAGCGCAGATATTGGTATCCTCGAAGAGGCCGACGAGGTAAGCCTCGGCACATTCTTGAAGAGCCATCACAGCAGAGCTCTGGAAACGCAAGTCAGTCTTGAAATCTTGGGCGATTTCACGGACCAAACGCTGGAAGGGCATTTTGCGGATGAGAAGCTCGGTGCTCTTCTGGTAACGTCTGATTTCACGAAGAGCAACGGTGCCGGGCCTGTAGCGATGGGGCTTCTTGACTCCTCCGGTTGACGTCGGCGGTTTTTGCATACGCTTGCCAGGATGCTTGAATACGGCCATTGTTTTGCGTGGGGCCTTGCCTCCGATTGTCGTCGATTTGCGGGCTGTCTGCTTGGTGCGGGCCATTTTCGTAGAGAATTCGTGGAAAATTCGTGCGTAGATAAGTATACCAGACGAGAATAGGTACTACAGATCCGAGCTGGCAGCTCTCACCTTATATATGCGCGCCTAGGGGTCAGGTGTTCGCAGCGTTGCGAGAAACTGAGGTAGGGGGTCCCTCGTCTATCCCACCTGACTGCCTATGAAAATCGGTCAGTCGAGGCTCGACTTGAAAATTTCAAGGTTTTTTGCGTAGCTTACTCTAACGATTCGAACCCAATTATGTCAGGCTAGGAAAGTGAAATCCTATTCAAGGCCTCAATTCAAGGTATCGGAAAAGCGGCCATCCATCGCCCTGCTTGCCGAGGCGGAGTCGAACGGGTCTCCGGGTTTATCTACGACGACAGAAAATAGTACGAGTTGAGAACGTCGTTTGAGACGCCGTCACTTACACCGAGCACGCCAGACGCGAAACGATCGCAGTCGTGGAAATTTTATTTGCTCTGAAAAGACAAGGCCGCGTCCTCTGTGGATTCCGATCGTGAATTCATTTTAACCTGACCGAAAACAAAATATATCGGTTCTCTTTCAGAGCCATGACTATTTTATGACATAGAACAATTGAATTTACATAAACACAGACCATTCTACACATTGACCATTCAAAAATCTAGACAGACAGTGTAAAAATCGCACTAATAAACTCGATAGGAAAAAATTCAGTCCTATCATTTTAACACAGGACTACGGCACCTTATTGCCTCTCAAGTTTATTTAGACTTTTTGCGCTGGGGCGACGATATGCTCGTTTAATAATCACAAGTCTCACGACGTTCAAACTTAAACTAGATTTATTTAAACTATGAATTTGTATGCTAGAAAAACTATCTACCTCACATTAAGATAGCACCAAAATCAAAATTTCAAGTCTTATATTAGCAGGGAATATTTCAGGCAGAAAAATTCTTCTAAATAAAATTTTTTTCTAATATTCTAACTTAGACAGACATTTATTTAATTTTTATTAAATTTAAATTAATTTATGTTAAATTTATTTTAAATTTAAATTAAATTATTTTAATTTTTTTATTTAATTTATGGTATATGACCTTTGGTATGCAATTAATCTCATAAAGTCGATAAATTACTTTTGTTGGTCTCATAAAATCATCATTTTTGTTGCTCGTCGTATTCTAATGAGCGTTCGTATTAATAACCACGATGGTCAAATTGCCAGAGAATATCATTCGTAAATATATTCAGTGAATAAAACTAACGAAAATGTGTTGAAATATTTATCGAAAAATGTGTCAACGAACGTATGAGTAGAAGCTTGTTTAATACACGAAAGCAGTCGAGAAGCCGTAAACACAAATATCATCTATCTACGTTTGTTTTGCTTTAGTTCGGCAAGTACGAGGCGAGCAATACAAGACTCGTATTATTCTTTCGTTACAGCTAACCGAGACGAAAGCAGAATTTCGGACCAGACGCTGTGAGTAGCGATCGCGACGCCGATGGCAAAAGTCGTCGTCCATTTTGGCGCGAGCTATAAAACTCGCGCCTTTAGTCCCTACCTCTTACTTGCTTACGTTATTCGACTGTAGTAACTTATCGCAATAAGCAAATTTGAAAAATTTACCATGTCAACCGACGAAGTAGCCAAGAGGGTCGCGGAGACCGACACGAAGAAGAAGCCGGTCGCCGAGATGGTCATGGAAGCTCTGGGAAATCTCGTGGACAAGAAAGGATCGACTCTGCAAGCCATCAAGAAGTACATCGCCAGTTTTTACGTAATCGACATCAACAGGCAAGCCATATTCATTAGGAAATTTTTGAAAGCTGCCGTTGAGAAGGGGATCGTGGAGCAGGTCAAAGGCTGCGGTGCTTCCGGAAGGTTTAGAATACCCAAAGACGCCAAGGCCAAGGAAAAGAAAGGTGCCAAGGAGAGTAAAAAAACCGCCAAGAAGAAAGTCAGTCAAGCCTCCGACGATGACAAAAGCAGTTCGGAAGAGCAAGAGGAGGAGGAGCCAGCCGAGAAACCAGAGGCCCCTGCGAAAAAAGCTGAAAAGACAGTGAAAAAACAGCCCGCAACTGCAAAGAAGTCGGAAAAGCCAACGAAAAAAGGGGCTGACGCTGCCAAAACGGCCAAAAAGTCTGAGGAAAAAGTGACTGCGACCAAGAAAGTCAAGAAGACAACGACCGATGACAAGAAAGTCGTTAAAAAACCAACCACAGAGAAGAAGGTCAAGGCCCCGAAGGAAGCTACCAAGCCCGAGAAAGCAGCAGTCCCAAAGAAGACTACCAAAGCGACGGTTTCTACGAAAATTGAGAAATCTGGAAAATCATCGGTTAAAGTGGCCAAGGCTCCAAAAGTGAAAAAAGCAGCCAAAGCCAACAATTAAAATGTCTATCTCCGTACCCTATAATTCTCCCGTAAACTAAAAAAACAAAACAACCGGCCCTTTTTAGGGCCCCCAAAATATTCAAACGTAGAACGAACTAGTTTTGCTTGGTTTTAAAACAATACAACATCGCACTTTCGAAATGGGTTTTCATTAATATTTGAATAAAGAAATAAATCACCTACTCTTAATTGAAAATAATCATAATCTAAATTATAAATAATATATTACTTTAATTTTAATCGTCTTAATATGAAGGCAGCTACATTCAATATAGAGGGAGGAACAGTGACAAGCAAGCGAATCGACTGTGACCTTCGAGCGAATTGATGGGAGCGTCAGCATACTCGGCAGTCAGATATAATACCTCGGACCGTAGCCAGCGAGATAAGTCAATCGTATTTTCTTCCGATGCGCGCGAGTCAATGCGCCAAGTCGACGTCTCCTCGACAACTCGTTCAAGTTCATTGATTCAAGTATACGACTAAGTTTGCTCGTTCGATAGGTAACCAAGGATGTCGCACGCAAGTGTTAAAAAATTGTGAGTACGCAAATAACATCTTTCATTGCAATTATCATAGAGTTCCAATGAAATAGGAATTCCTCGGTGTATCGTAGTACACATCTGCGACAACGGCCAGTCGTCAGTTGAGCATGGAAAAGTATCGCCAACGAGCAGTCACGGGGTCACATCGCTGTGTAATATGCGAGTAATGTGTACAGCTATTTAATTGCTAGTATAACGAAATCAAATTCGTTGGTAAGCCAGTGTTTACAAATTGCTGAACTTGAGGCATAGTGTTGACTACTCGAGACGTTTAACCTCGAATATTTTTTCTCGGTGTTTGAATATTTTTTCAAAATTCATATCGATTACACGCAATCAAACGTGTGATGGAAATCACAGAGAATACATTTATCTATAATATTTTTAATGCTTGCCATGTTTTTTAAACGATCGATTGATCAAATTTTAATTATTCTTCAGGGTAAAGGAGAAGCCGAACAATTCATAATCAGACGTTGATGACGTTAATTTTGAATGGGTGGACCCTCGTAAAGCAAAAAGCTTTTTAACATTTTCGTTTTACAAACAACCAGTGAGTTTAATAATTTGAATTATTTTCTTATTTTCCACTATCAAAAACTACTACACACTTTTAATTTTAGGTAAATCATGATGAACTGATAATTTCGCAGTGCACAATCGAATCAAACTCTTCGAATCTTATATTTGTCAGAACTCATTTGAACTCCGGATTATACTCAAGAGACATATAATGACGGTAAATAATCTGACAAACTCCTTGAAAATGACATTTACCGCTAATCATTTTGATATGAACGTAATCTTAACTTTCCCATTAATGCAGTACATTTTAGTAGCTAACTCTTTGAGAGTGGGATTTGTCGCAAATCATTGTATCCAGAATAAACTAATGACAGCTCATAATCGAAGCAAACCCTAGAAGCTTAATAATTACGAGAGAAAATTCTCAAGAAATTAAAATCTCAAAATCCACTTGCATAAGGCACATAACAATGTCACACATACACATGTGAAACGTACGAATCATATTTCGCAACTAAGGTTCATCTCAAAAACCAAATCAATGAGGTGCAAAAAAGAAATTTCAAAACTCACTCTGACGTGTTGCACGATGGTATTACGTATGCATTCGATGAATTCAGAAAAAATTTCTCAAGTAAGATTGGTCCCAAAAAAATACATGAATATGGTACAAAACAGTGTCGCTTTATATGCTAGGTACACAAGAAAAAACTCGGACAAAAAGGAGTCTCAAATCCCATATCAATATCATGCATCGTTCACGCTTTATGCCCTAATCCTCTTTTATATAAATGTATAAAATGTGTATATTCAATATTTATATAAAAATGGCGATCTACAAATTATTAGTGTATTTGACTATGTATAGCTAATTTTAAAATGTCTATCACGAACATGGTATTATGAATTCCTTTGGTGTTGTGTATATTTGAATGTATGGTTTTCGCGTTGTGCATAAAGCAAGAGCATTTCTAAAAATAGTAATTTAGGTCATTTTTAGGAGTCATTTTTAGGAATACTCTTGCTTTTTGCAGAATACGTAAGATGAGTATCTTAGATAATGGATACATCAAGGGTACTTTATAAGTTGTTCTAATCTATAATTCTAAGCTGATTGATCCAATATTGTTAGGATTTGTTCCATATGAGTAGATTTCATTTCTGTAACGATATATCGAGAGGCGCATCGCGAAAAAAATTAATTCACTTAATTTTTTAAAGAGACAATTTAAATTGTGGTGAGTCCATTTTCAGTTAGATTATTCTACCTGATATGTATACACGTCCTAAATACATATAGTTATGCATTTGTATCTTGTGAAGCAGGCATTTGTATAAATTATTTTTCAAAAGGCCTCGAATAAACGATACTTACTCGACAAAAGTATTTTCATCCTTTACGTATAAAACGCAAATGGAAGAGTTTGAGCTCTCATCTACGCCGAAAAATAGCCCCTACAAAGCTCCCCGGCTTGCGTTCACCGACAAAATTACTGAATAAAAAATGTTCTAGAGTATATACATTCGCTTTTTCAGCAGTAGGCACGTTTCGCTATAGCGGACATCCTTCGACAGTGCACAGCAGTCACAGACGCGAGGAATTAATATAAAAAATGGGGGAAGAATACAGGAAGAATAAGAGAAGGATGTATTTCGGCATTTGTATGTACTTGCGTATATCATTGAGAATATTGTTAAAGCAAAGTTTTTTTACTCCAGTTCGTATACCTTTCAGCGAACATTTTTCTTTTTTCATATCGCGATTGTGCGATAGATAGAGTGTACGCGGCTACGTAGGTATATCAGTAACATTTTGACGAAAAAATATCAATTATTTTCCGCCAAAAATGAAAAAAAAGGAAAAGAAGGAAAAACTTTATTTAGAAGTGCGCGTGCGAGGATGGGAGCAGAGTGCCCGACAGCCTAGATGAGACATATATGCGATCGAATGGCGAGCATTACCGAAAATCGATGTGTAACAAGCGCAGCACGACGACGACGACACACTACTCATTGGGAGTAAGAGATATGTACAGCCGGAGCAGTGGTTACGTAAAACTATGCCGAAAATCGCCTGCGGCCGCTGCAGAGACACGGTACAACATGTATAGCTACCCGCGCACACATTTAAGGGTAGTTGATCGCTGCACATCGATGGCCTTGCAGCAGCAGCAGCTTCAAAGTGCACGTCGAGACATATCCACCTACACACACGCACACATCTCTATAGGAAGAAAAGACAGGGCAGAGCTGGCTGAGAAAGGTAGAAGGTATATATACGCGCATAGATACTACGGGCAAAGGTATAATTTGGAAAATGGTGCGCAACGCGCGCGCATACTGCCAAGTCAGCGAAGCTACTTCTCTCTTTTACTCTTTGGGGTAGGTGACGGCACAGCGATACCTACTCGATGGGTCGTTGTCTCGCGAGCGAAAATTTTTCTCGTCATGAAACAGCCGAGCGCACGACGAGACGTATTATATGATATATTCGGCGCGGACACTCAATCCCCCTCGCGAAGGTGTCTAAGGCCTCGAGAGATCCTTGCAAGCTCGCGATATGCGAATGTACTTCAGTGTATATCGTCGCCCCAGCGCAAGAACCGCACAAATAAACTTAAGGGGCAAAAACAACCTTATCCCTATGTTAAAAGGATAGGATTAAGGCACCTTTTTGCCACTTGAGTTTATTTGTGCGGTTCTTGCGCTGAGGCGACGATATTGTCAAATTTTGCGATTCATCGATCGTTTTGTCATTTCGACAACGATCTTTAACGAGTCGCAAAAGCCTGATTAATATCACATTTGAATATTATTCGTCCGGCCTCGAGAGCAGAATCAACGAATAGCGAGATAGGACTTGGTAGCATAAATCAAGCTCTCGACATGGCCGCCTTTAAACGTGCCGAAAGATACAATACAGGATTTCTATGAAGTGCAAAGAATGGCTGGGAAAAAAGAGCAGCAGCGGAGAAGCAGTCCGAGTCGGAGTCGGAAAAGTGCAGCGCACTTCGTCATTCGGCTCGCTCAATTTGCCAGCGAAAACCGCAGGATGATACGCCTCGTGCTCCTCTTCGTGGGGCTTTAGATACGATCGGAGTTCGAGCTGTATATATAGTATATAGGTAGAGTAGTTACATGCGCGCAGCAGCATAGCTCCGGCGTCGAGCGACATGGTTTCTCGCTCTCGATCCCGCAGCAGCGGAGCAACGCGTGCCGATGTGTAGGTGTACTACGACCAGATATACAGATATAAGAAGCTGGCGACGTCACCATGCTCTATACCATATAATATACGTACGTATGTAAGGTGGAGGACCACTTATACGTGAGTAAGCCTCGGATCACGTATAGCTTACAGCCAAACCTCCCCCTCTCGGACGTCTTTCAGCGTACATACTTTGCCCTTACCCATACTACACCCACGCAGCAAATAAACATACACCGCAGAATGCGCAACTCGTGCAACGGTGCACGTATGCGGCCCAAGCAGCACTGGGTATTCCACCGAGTTAAAGGGAATTTCGGATTACCGTCGACGTTGTCGTACGCTGCTGCTTCTGCGATACTCTCGTTGCAGCTCGTTAGCTACTTTTCCTTCCGAGATTTTACGAATCTCCGAGACTTTTTTACCTTTCCATTCACGATCGAAGCTCGGTCCACACAAATAGTCCTCGGACGCGTATTCAGCAACGTGGATTCGAAAAATATCAGCGCGCCCGAGCCGTTGGATTTCAGCTTATACTTACATGCGATCGAGCGACATGATGATCTTGAATTTGAGAATAAAAGGATCATCGTTGAAACGTAAGCACGACGATTGGCAAAGTTAAGGAACGAACTGCGGAACGAGTAAACACGCCTCGCACCCGAGAGCACTAAATTTTCATATACAACGCATATAGCATGAATTCTGTGATGCACGGACATAACTAATATTTATCTTGACCAAATCTTCAGCCCGACTACGATATCATATTGAATAGATCAAAGCTAACTATTCTATTTGTTCTAGCCGTTGATTAATATTCATTACCTTGCGATCAGCGAGAAACTTCCTGGAGTTACTTTCTAGAGTTAAATTCTTTACAAATGTACAGGGACGTATGAAAAGCACGAGTTGCTTCCACGCGTAAACATTTTATCGTAATTAAATTCATCGAGGCCACAGATTTTTTTTTTATATTTATTACAAAAAAAGTATCGAAATTTGTACCGATATCCGTTTGAATCGCAACTCAGTGTGGACAGAATTGTCATTCGATCATTCGCTCGAGAGCTAAGACGACTTTTTATTTTAAACAACAAATGAGAAGTGTACACAACAGATACAAAATGCAATTTCAGAAAACAGACACGTGCGCTCAGGAGGATAGGGTTTTTCTCTCCCCCATTGTACACGATACTTCCAGGCCATCAGCCACCGACGAGCATCATCTCGCGCCCAATTGGCAGAGACAAACATTTAATATCGGAATTGCTGTCCCGACGAGTGCACACATACACAAACACCAACTCTGGGCTTTATCATCCAAACGGAAGCTTATATTTTGACAGCACGAGATCGAACTCTAGATATTTATATATATTTTTGTGTTTCAAAAAGAAGACGGAAAAAAGACTTCATTTTAATCGCAGCTCTTTTTTCACTTCTGTCGTGCATTTATACAATATATCGAGTGAATTTCTCACTTTTGCGATCGCGAACTTCAGTTCGTTGCTTCAGTTGAACTTTCCGTCCTTTCAGCTACACTTTTTCGTCTGCGTCGCGTACATACGTATATGTGCATTAACGCACGAGTAGGCTTCGATTTTAAACTCCTTTTTCGCTCTCTTTGACATTTCACTAGTCCGATCGTATGAACCGAGATCTTCTCAAAAGCTTGGATGCGCCGAAATCTTTTGCTTGCTCGTCCCGGATCAAGAGAGAAATAACATCGTAGGCACGTATGATAAATTTTCATCGATTATTTTCAATTTTGAAATAAATTTTGTTTTAAATACAATCAGTTGGTCGTATATTGTCGTGATAGTGAGAGAAAAAATGAATGATTTTCTCGTTAATTTTCGATTATATTGGTAGGAATTAAGGCCGTTGGGGACCTTTAGGTCACGTTGGAGCATTAACATGATATTTGAGTATTTGCTGGTATCCAAATGATTTGTGATAAATCTCACACACAAAGGGTTTTATGCACTGCGTTCATGTGCTTACTAAGGTCACTTAAGAGAATGAAAATAATTTGTGTCAAAAGTTACACTTAACATCTTTGCGATCATGAACGACCATTCTATGCCTTATAAGTTTATTCTGGTATTCCTATTTAAAGATAACTATACCAAAATTGTAATGGAAATATCATTCATTCGAATGCAAAACATTTGTTTGTTGAAATTTAGTTACTTGTGTAAAGATACTACTGCTGATTCTTTAGCAAATTTCTTTTTTTTAAAAGTAATAACTTTATATTCATTTCAATACGAATTCTTATGACACCTACGATGCCCATCGTCCATCACAAAGCTTCCTTGCACATGAAGGAAGGAAAATGGAGAAGTTTTTAATAGCGTCAATTACCCAAGAGCGATTTTATTTCACCATCCATTTATAGAAAAAGCTTTTCCATTCTTTAAGCTTTTCTTCCTCGCCCCGAAGCTTTTGAAAGGCTGTTTGTATACACCAAATACAGCATCACCCCTGCCAGTTTCTCTTTGATTCGCCTGTGATTGTTAACACTTTGTGTATTTTTATGCTTTAAACAGAGTCTAGATACAACCGGCTGCTACAGCTGCATAGATCAAGAGAGGTCGAAAGAGACCAACCGAGATCCGTACAAATAGAACC